TGGGATACGGCGTCTTGCTTGCTAGAACTTGTCTGGGTCGGGATGAGTCACTGCTTCCCCACGTAGACCCCGTTCACGACTGAAACAAAGCGCCACTCCTCAGTCTGCCTGTAGATCTCGCTCAGTGCACATCCCTTGCTGTAACTCTCTGCGAATTTTCACGTGTTTCAACTCCTCTCAGCAAGGTAAAGTGAAGTTAAATTTTATTTTTATTTCAATTTATTTTAATTTATTTATGCATTTATCTTAGTGTATGTATGCATTTTAGTAATAAGTAGTGTCTACATTAGTTTATACAACCCCATTAATGTGTAATATGACATATAAAATATAATTTCTTATACTCTGGAACGGATTATTTCATTTCCCCTTTATTGCTTATGGGAAAAATTCGTTTGGTGTATTTGCCATTTTCGGTTTAAGTCCTCCTACCTTCTGGAACGAATTAACGACATATACCGAGGTACCACTAGTCTGATTTCTGAAAAATCCGCACTTGTGAGTGCAACGACCGATCTCCCGCATCCCTTAAAGAGAGCGAAGTGTCTAGATCCGATGAATGTTTGGCGCTGCCCTTCCTGGCGTGGAATCAGCCCGATGGAGCCGGCGCTTTGTAGGGGGGGGGGTGGTGGAGGGGAACGACGGGGAGCGTGTCGGATCGTTTTCTGAGCGCTCGCCCTGGCACAGGTAGAGAGGAGCAGATGTTTGCCCATTTTTAACAAAGCGTAAACATTTTTTTTTTAAATGAGAACTGTGACGGGTTTTTCGCAGCGTCACAATCAGTGATGGATGAGCTCAGCTGGGTCATTCATCAACGCGTTGGACCGCGTTGGGTTCGACTTTCAAAAGAAAAATAATGTAAGCCTTACCTAGAGGGGGGTTTAGTGCACGGTGGGATATCACAACGTTCACCAACGCAAGTAAAACATTTTTTCAGTTTTTTTTAACTTTATCCACTTAATAATTATTTTAATATGTAAAACTACAAAACATTGTACAGTACTATATAGTGATTTTGTCAATCCACTGCTGGATGAAGACCTCCACATGCCATGTGGATCACGGTGGTTGTTTGACCCGACCATGCTGGTGAGCGGTAGTGTCGTGGTTAGTGCGCTGCACTGCGAACTCGGCTCGCCCGAGTTCAATTCCCGCGCACGCAAACACCAGTGACAATAATCTCAACCGGTCATGGGCCATCCCTTGGTCGACTCAGACTCAAATGAGCACAGTACCTAGTACGGTGTGTAAACATCGCAAACTAAGGGAGACAAAGGCGGTCAGGCGTGGTGCTGACCTTCCCCAAAAGTCTGTTCAGGCTGTAAGGGTGATCTTTGTCTTTGTTGGTCGAGTGTGGCCCAGGACCAGTTCAGTCACTCGCCACTGATGTTAGGCATGGACAGAAATCGAACTCGGGTCACCGGGTCCATAGCGTAAACCACCGTGCCTCCGCTCCATAAAAATGATATGTTTTTTTACAGATTCATTTATTTTTACATTACTTGGTTGCAATTTCAGGGAAATGTAGGTCTATTAACATTGGGCGTTGTGTAGACTGTGTGCAGTAAGTTCCCTAGGGTCCCAGGGCCTTCTGCCATCGTCTTCCAGTCAGTCAGCGCCTGTTTGTGCGTGCGTACGCGTGTCTGTGCGTGCGCGCGTTTGTCCTTTTCCATTATTTTCGTGGTTTTCACCCACCTTCCCATGCTCAGCTGTTTTTTTTTGCTCCCTTTAATTATCGCTGCCCGATCAGGCAAGCCACACACACCACCGAGTCTACCCCCCCTCCCATATCGCCGCCGCGTCTCTCGATCGTCTCCTGGGTGGCAGACGCATAATGAATTCCGCAGGCGCAAAAAAAAGGAATAACCCGTCCACCCGTGTGCCCAGCTCCCCTACCATCGCGACCGCCACCCTCCCCTCCCTCCCACGCTGTGCCCAAAGCCTTGTGTCAGCTGAGAGACAGGTGCAATTTGGGGGTAGCCGCCTTGGTGTCTTTGGGGACCTCGGTGTCATTGTATATTGACTGGCGTGGTGCGTGACCGCCAAGATTGAGGCCCACTGTTCTTTATTTCTGGCCTCAAGGCGGCCGGTCGCACCTGTGCTGCTTGCTCGCCGCCACTGCTTCTGCAGCCTGCATGGCATTTGACTCGCTGCCGGCCGGCTTGTCTGTCAGTTGGCCTGTGCGTTAGTCAGTCTGTGTGTCAGGCAATTGGTCGGTCGGTCTGCCTTAGTCAGTCTGCGCTAAGACAGTTGCACCGACGCTCGGCGATGGAACCCTGCGGTGAAGGCACGCGACGGAAATTGTTAAAACCAACAAATTGCATCGTTCAGACGAGGTACTCGGTTACGTTTCCTCGTTCGCTCATTGCTCAACATTTCATCAAGGTGATTCACAGCCCCTCCTTGTCCGTCCACTGCTAGATGAAGGCGCCTCCACGCTGTGTCGGCCGTTCGGCAAGGGGTTGGAGACGGGCGCCCAGCTGCCTGTGCCACGGCGCCCGCCAAAACATGAGCCATTCGTGTTCGTAAAAATGTTGTTGCGAGCCAAAATAGTCAGAGCGATTTCCAGTGCAAATAAGCATTGAGGGGCGGTGCTCATCTCCTGGCTCCCGGTTACAGTGGAGAGCCAGTCGTGGATATTCCACGTTCCTATGCCAGTGCCGAGTCTCTCCACAGGACAACTGCACTGTTGACTTTCCCACTTTGCAACTCATTTTATCGGCCCAAGACATTGTTTGTATTGTTAGTAACAAAATGCAGCGTGATTTTTTTAAAATTTCTTTAACCATTAATGTGTTCGTACATTTTGTGCGTGTTTAGTTTTGTTGTCCTTCCAGACACCTTCGATTAGGTATGGTTATCTGCGTACGGTGCGAAAGAAGCTCAACATACGTGCATATTTTGTCATCAACAACAAATATCTTATTACATTTTTCAAACCGTTCACCCGTGACAATCGCATTATCGGTCCTTACTTTGTTTGTGACCGCAAGCCCCCCACCCCCCCCCCCCCCCCCGCCTGCAGGTGCCACGTGCCCGGCGCCAAAATTGTGGTCTCTTGGCGCTGCGTAATACAGCACCATGGCGGTCGCCTTGATCATCAATTTTGATCTCGCTGTCCGCGGAGATCGTAGGCTCTTAACCCAGGGCCCTCCGTGAACCATCCGCCTCGCGTTGAAGGCACCGCCGTACCACTTGGACCCAAAATCGGGTGCAACGAATTGATTTTTATTGCATAAATTGTACTCCGGGAGTCTCAATATTTCGCCGTGGTTCTGAACGGCGGTCCGGCTCAATGCACATTGAACCCCGTTTATTTACCCCAGCAATGATTACGCTTTTTTTTGTTTGTTTTGCCACTGTGAGACGTTGGTGAATTATTATTTGATGAGCTTAAAGGTCGGGGAGAGCAAAGCGGGGGGGGGGAGGGGGGGTGACTTGAAAAATGCCCGTTTTTTGAAAGCAGTTTGCAAGCTCGTGCTGTGCTCCCTGCCGTTCAGCTTTGCCCCTCTCCTCGCACAAAATCAAATTGCTCGAATGGGATATAAGGGCGCACGTACGGCGCGTGACCACTTGCCTGGATGCTGCGTGGGTGCTGCTTCGGGTTTGCGTCGATACGACGGGACCACGATGAACGATCATCTTGTAGATATTTACTTTCGCCATATATAGCGATTGTCGCGATATTAGTTTCTCATTGAAAAAAAAATTGTATTTCACGTTTATATAATTTTGCCCAAATTGTGAAAATGTCGTTATATCTTCATTATCGTGGCTCACGTGATTTTTCACTTGCTTCAATTTCCTAACAAAATAGCAAAAGCATGATCATTAAAGTTACAAGCGAATATCTATTATCCATTAAACTAACACTTTGTCAATATGTTTGTTGGAGTAATTGATGGCATTGCTGTAATATGGCTTCATTTTTTGTAGTTAATTTAATTATTTAGTCTTATGCAGCTTACAGCATGGGCATTATAAGCATTATATATTGTAAAGTTGCAATGATGATGTATATTTTTTTGTAATCTTTATTCATAATACAAGTACATGGAAGCACAAAAAACTCTGCAATCAAAATGTGCAATACAGTTACAGTACTCGTATCACGGTTATCGGCAAAAAAAAATGTATATTACATAATTTCGTGAAAAATTATATCGCAGAAATCCTAGAGCTGTTCGGCAGATAGCACGTGGTCTCATCTCGCTTCACATTCCCAGCGCGAAAGTGAAACGCCGCCAGATGAATGACGGCACCTCGCATTCCGAGCTTGGTCTTCTGGGTGAGGACGTAGGTTGTAGTTACGGTGAACTTCTTTCACCGTATGTAGCCAACGTTGCAAATTGGAGGTGCGGGGGAAGGACAAAAAACTAAAGAATTTAAGCAGTTCCAAAGAAATTTGATTTTATATTCTTAGCTCTTTTGGTAAAGTCACGTTGAAGGGAAAAAATAAAATAATGAAATATATATGTAAAATATAATAAATAAAATATATATAAAATATATAATTGTTATATATATTTTATTATTTTATTGTTTCTCTTCAACGTGATTTTACCAAAACAGCTAAGAATATGAATTACTGCAGTCACGAAAGCTTTAAATAAAAATTTGATTTTAACCTAGATTTAAAAGTACATAGCTTCAGTGGCTTCTTAATATCGGAAGGAAGAGCGTTCCAGACGGCCGCAGAAGCAAATCCAAAAGCGCGCAATGCAGTGTCCGTGTTGAGCATTCATTAATTCTCGTAAACTTTTGACGCGCCCTACTGCGGCGATCTCAACGAGAAAACACTCCAAGATGCCTGCAGCATTTGAAGATATTCCACAGGAGTGCGTGGTAAAAGCTTGAGAGAGAAAAAAACTGGTGAACACACGGCCCAACCCGGAGGGCCGCACTCGCATTACGAGTGGCTGAAGTAAACGTCTGTCCCCGAGTGTCTCACGTTGACTGATGGATGCCCCCTTTCCCCGTTTTGCGACCAATCGCCGCAGATGCCCCATACGGCCGGACGCACTCGGCGTGCGGTCACCAAGTGGAGGGCACGGAGGGCGAGGAGCGGGGTCAGGACCTCCCGTACATCGACGACTCTCCTCCGTCATCGTCTCCCAAGATTGGCCATCGTGGCCTGCAGCCCGAGGACGGAGACGGCCCCACCGATTCCCCGCTCGACGCAAACCTCGCGGTAACTGCGCGACAGAGTCCCCGGGGGAACATCGCTTTGGGTTGGTTGTGTTCGTCTCGGTTATTACTTTCATGACATTTCTTTAGGATGCTACGGTGGTGTAATTGTGCTGACATCCGCGAAGCCATAGAAACTGAGTGGCCTGTTGTCTGCGTAGAGAGCACAGAGACAGTGGTGGCGAGATGTTAACTACCTCACCTGATAATGCAGGAGGTCGTGGATTCATTGCCGAGCCTGACACCTTTTTATCTGGAGTGTGCGTGTCTCTCTCTCTCTCCCTGTGGTCGCGTAGATATTTCTCCGGGTCCTCCGCTTTTTCCCTCCACATTTAGAAGCATGCGTTTAGAGTGTTTGCCTGCTATAAATTTCCACGCGAGAAGCTGCGTCGTTGGGCTTTCATTTGTGGCCAGGTCGCTTCTGAAAAGGAAGCTAATAGCTCCGTAGGCTTTAGCGGATAAAATAAAATAGTACGGTTCATTTGTATTCTTTGGTTCTTTCGGTAAAGTCACGTAGAATGAGAATAAAATAATAAATTAATAAAATAACACAAAAAAATTCTCACGACGTTTCGGCCACAACACAAGCGGCCTTCTTCAGGTCAAAGGAACAGACAACGTGGCCGAAACGTCGTGAGATTTTTTTTGCGTTATTTTATTTTATTAATTTATTATTTTATTCTCATTCTAGTGACTTTACCGAAAGAACCAAAGAAGATGAATCCTTGCAGTCACGAAAGCTTTAAATCGAAATTTAAGTTCATTTGTATTTTTATTTTGTTCGTGATTTGCTCATCTTTCCTATACTTTGCGCTTCTATCGTGTTTTAGTATCGTTTGTTGTTGTAACGTCCTGACGCCACTACTGGACATCTGTGAGAAAGAGCTTTATAGCTCATCAGATTCCTCCAGTATAAACAAACATTCTGAGTATTTATTAATCCACGCGTCGGATTGTTTCCGTCACGTGTGCGTCTGAAGTGAAGAGTCGATAATGCTGCAGCGATTTAGTTTTTTTTCATGTGCCTTCGCAAATGTGGGGCAGTACAGGGCTGGTCAACGCGGCCATGTGGCGTATAGGAAGTGCATGCAGTCACATCTGGAAAGTAAACTGCTCCTGCGGTTTAAGTCGTTCTTGTCTTCGTCCCTAACGGCAACCCACGCAAAACATTTACAAGCTCAGCCCAGTGGGTGGCGCTCGACATAAGCTATCGAGGCAAAAGCTTAGGGCCCAAAGAGGGTCAAGGGCAGGGGTGAGCCACAGGGGGGGCTTGGGGGGGCTCAGCCCTCCCTGAAATTTTGGGAAAGTCGGTAAATCGGGATAACCGGATATCCGGCTGCTGCAAAATGCTGCAGGCTGTCACCTTGTGCTGCCCTGCAGGCTGCCACCTTGTGCTGCCCTGCAGGCTGCCACCTTGTGCCGCCACCTTGTGCTGCCCTGCAGGCTGCCACCTTGTGCTGCCCTGCAGGCTGCCACCTTGTGCTGCCCTGCAGGCTGCCACCTCGTGCTGCCCTGCAGGCTGCCACCTTGTGCCGCCACCTTGTGCTGCCCTGCAGGCTGCCACCTTGTGCTGCCCTGCAGGCTGCCACCTTGTGCTGCCACCTCGTGCTGCCCTGCAGGCTGCCACCTTGTGCTGCCACCTTGTGCTGCCCTGCAGGCTGCCACCTTGTGCTGCCCTGCAGGCTGCCACCTTGTGCTGCCCTGCAGGCTGCCACCTCGTGCTGCCCTGCAGGCTGCCACCTTGTGCTGCCCTGCAGGCTGCTTGAGCGGCAGCCTTTCGAACTTATCGAACTTATTAGCCACATCAGCGGCTCCGACCTATTAATAAACTCCGCGTTCAAATCCAATAAAATTAGTTTTATACATTTGTGGCGCCCATTGGAAAACATACACTGGATATCTCAGAATATTGAAGTCAGCCCCCCCAAAGTCAAAATCCTGGCTCCCCCCTGGTCAAGGGGAACTGGATTCATAAAAAAATATATAAGGGTTCATCAAACATCAGCTCAAATTGAAATCCTAATAAACATAAGATAATTAATATGTTGACTTAAAGCTTTCGTGACTGCAGGAATTCAGATTATTGGGTCTTTCGGTAAAGTGACGTAGATAGGTTCAAAGAAAATAACAAAAAAAGGCTTTTTTCCTGAAGACGACTGCTTGTGTTGCGATCGAAACGTCGTGGTTTTTTGTTATTTTTTGTTATTTTCTTTGAACCTATCTACGTGACTTTACCGAAAGACCCAAGAATACTAGTTAATATGAATAAGCTGACGAATCTGTCTCCTCTCTATCTTGTCGGCATCTTTCCTTGCCGAGCTCACTACAACACATTTTCTTTCTAAATTCCTCTTATCTCATTACATCAATATCTCTTGTTTATATCTATTTTTTTCAGATCACTAGCATTCTGTGAATTGAAAGTGGGAACCCCAAAAAAGCGGATCTCTGTTTCGCCCCCCCCCCCCCACCTCCAATGGGCTAGCATCACTCCTGCCCCAACAAATGTATCATCATTTTATTTAAATAAACACCTTGCGTGAAATTTTCACGCTATCACAGATGAGCCGGTTACGTCTGCTTTTTGTTTGCGCAAGTTCCACGTCACTTCGTTGGCACACGTGTAGCTGTTAAGCTTCACGAAAGGCGGAAGTTTGTTAAATCAGCCACTGGCATTGCCTCATCACCTACAGCTCAAATGTGGTTTTCCTGTTTCTCGGTCCCTGCCAAATGTTTTTTTTTATTTCTAAAGATAAGCCCTCGCCCTGCATACAGCGCCACTTTTGGATTCTACAGCGCGCGAGTTAGCGCTGCATTTCTAACATGTCGACTTTTGCGTTCGGTCTAATTGCGTTCTAGACTACTGGGGGGTACTCGCAAGCGTTCAATGCGTAGCGAGCCGGAGTTAGACGTCTCCGCGGAAAGCTCCGACGCCCGTCGCCTGCGCAGTGAAGGAAGCAAAACCGGGCCTGCACCGCTGGCGCAGCCTGTTGCCTAGGCCTCGCTGGTTCAAGGAAGGGCGGCGGTTTTGTTTGTGATCGGCCGGTCGACACGTGTGGCCCATGGCAAACCGGCAGAGCCTGGACGTTGCCACGGTGCTCGGTAGCCTGGACGCCTTTCTCATCAAGGAAGATGAGTCCTGCCTGTGTGATTACATGTGGGTCCCGAGCCCCACGTCTCCCGTCTCACCCAACTCGCCCTCCTTCATGTTCGGTGCTGCCAAATATGAGAGTTTTGAGGTACGGTGCTCTCTGTTATTGCGGGTTTTTTTCTCATTCTGATTGTTTGTATTTAATCTGGATTTTGAACATATATATGGAGAACATTTGAATTGTGAATTCTGTATAGTATTGCTCCAGTCACTAACATCTAAAATACAGTGTTAAGTACATTTTGACAGCCTGCCGAAACTCATCGCACCTTACGTAGCCAACCGATTAGCGCGGTTAGCTACGTACGGTGCAAAAGAAATTCATTATTCACAGGTGGGTGTTTCGTGTTGCCACCCGTACATAATTAGTAAGAAGAGTGCACACGTTTTAAACGGGTACATATTTTATATGGCGCTATTCAGGACTATGTCGACTCTTTAAAAAACATGCGTGATTTGCATGCCCTTTGTCCCAAACACTCATTCGCCAGTACATGTGACCGAGCTGCTGCACAATGCTTTGTTGCGTCATATTAATCCGTAATTAATGAGAGTTTAAAGTTGGCAACCCTATTGGAAGTCAGATAAGTCACAGTGGCTTTCCAGCATCTAAGGGCATCGAGCTACGCTCATCTCCTGTTCACAGCCCTGAACCACCAGTGGTGGAAAATCCACATTTCTATGGCAGGGGAGTGAGTATATTGATAGGGCAACTGATCAAACTGTTGACTTCTTCGCAAATTAGTTCTCATTTTAGCAACCCCGGATCGATGAAGGGCTTGATTGCACCATTCTGCTTTAGTATTTATTATTGTTTTGCATGCGTCAACGGTGCTCTGTTCATAATGTAAAGAGTCAACATGCTGGTGTACTTTTGGTGTCGCTTCAGATTATAGATAGATTCTAGCTGTATTATAGCCGTAGGTTAAAGCTGTATTCCAAGTATTAGAGTGACACTTTTTCTTTGTAAACTGTTTATCAGAGCGGCAACATGTTGTGGTTTTGCCCGTCAGATTTATGTAAGTTGCATTTTTAGAAAACCGGCTACCCAGACGCGAGCCACATTTCATTCCAGCGACGACAAAAAAAGGGTTTGTTGCCGTTCGCAGGCTTTGCTCGTCGTCTTACCCAAAGGAGGAATCGTATTTTTTCTCTTTTTATTACAGCGGCATTCACAACCCCCGAACACCCAGATCAATCCTGGTTGGATCCAGCAGAGTGATTTTCAGTGTTTTTCTGCCACTTCACGTGGTTATTTGCCACGGGCCATTTATACCACGTAAATAAATAAAACCCACGGTGAAAAAGCAGTGCAAGTTTCTTAAATTCCACTCCCCCCCCCCCTCACCTCTTGCCTGTCCCATCCAGCGGTATAAACGGGTCCACCATGGTCAAGTCGATCGCCCGGTCTCGTGCGGTGGAGTAAAGTGTGGGTCCCCTCCCCTTCCCTTTCCAAGACGTCCGGCCGGTGTGGAAGAGTAGGCAAAATCCACTGGAGGAGGCTTCCTTGAGCTCCCTCTGGCGCAGTGTTTTTCATTGCAAGGCCCGCGGACCACTGGCGGCCTCCTCCCCTGTGGCCCTTTAGCGCGGCCGCCTGACTTGCGGTCCCCCCCCCCCCCCCCCGACTACACAAATAGTGAAAACACCGCTTGCAGGCGGCTGTGGCGGCCCTCACACTGACGATGCCTCATCGGCGGTAGTGGGCCCCCCCTCTGAAAATTTGCGAAGAGCACTGCTCCAGCGGAAGCCGTTCCGCCAGAATTGGTGTGAGCGAGCACTAGCAGGTGTTGCGCCTTTGCCTTTCACTATTTCTGCAACGCCACCGTCGAACGTGAACACAAAAGTAAACGCGATATAATATGCACACACACACACGTGATAATCCATTATTTCTGATTTTCCTATACCTTTTACGCAATTTGTTTCACGTGACCCCTGGAGCTAATAGCGCCCCCTATTATTTTCGAAATACTCAACACCCAGAGATGGACTCAGTGTTCCTTCCAATGCCTCTTGTATTGGAATACAGTTTAGGCTGGATACAAGCACACCCCTTGGGAGCAAGGTGAGGTGAGCTTATATCCGAAGTCGTGTGCTTGTATCAGAAGTTGCTTCTGGCTCCCCCCCCCCCCTCCTCCGCCACCCTCAACAAATGTATAAGCACACCTTATTAGCACGCTTCTGATATAAGCAGCCGTGCTTATAAGGTGTGCTTATACCAGCGTCTGCTTTGTTTTTAAGAGTCATTGCTATCCATTGAATAATGGTGACCGAAAGGGAGAATTGCTGCTCGTGTGTGTTGCTGTTGTTGTTCGGGCACCACACCCAGCTGTTCGTGTTTTATCCTCTTCCCCAGCAGATGTTTCGGTCCCAAGTTCTCATTTTAAGAGGCGTAATGGATAAAATTGCTCAACCCACAAATGTGTCCTTGCAATATATGACCTGTGAAACAATATTTATTTTTTATTCAGAACAGTTTTTTTTTGCGTTTAGTTTGATGTCCTTCCCCCGCACCTCCGATTAGCGCGGTTGGCTACGTACGGTGCGAAAGAAGTTCAACTTACTCTGCAATCCATACTTTAAATAGATTTAGTTGTATTATCTCCCCGCGAATTATTATTTTTTATTGGCTCTTTTAATCCACTTAATGATGCAGCTGCTCCCAACAAACATCCGCTTTCTGGAAGGTGATATTTTGTGCGTTGTCAATTTTTCTCAGTATGGTCCTTAATCATGGTCAAATTAAGCTGGGAGACATCATGGCTAACGATGATGATGATTAATGCCATGAAAACCAGGCTCTGTATGTACGGTGTTGTGCTGCTAAGATTGCCCGCGCCCGGCAAGGAGCAATAAAAATATCTGTATTTGGATGTAACATTCTGACCCGCCGCTGCTGAACAAAAAGAGCTTCATAGCTCATCTGATTCCTCCAGTGTCAATAAATATTCTGAATCTGCAATGATCTGGCCGCATTCATGTCGCAAGAACCCTCCATCGCCCGACGCAGCCAAGCAAATTCAATTGTCACCTACGCAAGCGTTGAACGACCCGCCAAATGTCATTGTTTCAGCTCGCCGTTAAATTGAAGAACGGTTCCCGTATCTACATATAGCAATTAGATGCGACGCTTGGCTATTGTTGAAATTATGCCAAGCGCCTTCATTGAAGTCCAGGAAGTGACGATGAAATCCTGAAAATACCTGCCCGTTTTGGCGGGCATGGTATCATGCGTGCACCTAGCCTGGCACAGATAGCATCACTGCTGCTCAGTGGCTGATGGCGGGGTGTTTTTTTCCCCGTCGCATTTCAGTTCTTAGAACCTGGCCCGGGTGTCGCCTAGGTCACCTTAGCCTTAAAAAATGACATGCTCCAGTGTGTACATAACAGCACTGTGGAGACAAAGACGCTCAGGCATGGTGCTGACCACACAACTCTTTTGTCCTCCATAGTGACCTTTAATACTTGGAATACAGCTTTAACCTACGGCTATAATACAGCTAGAATCTATCTATAATCTGAAGCGACACCAAAAGTACACCAGCATGTTGACTCTTTACATTATGAACAGAGCACCGTTGACACAGGCACGTGCTAATGCAACTTATCCCCAAACTGTGTGCGCTGCTAAATCTGTGTGTGTGTGTGCCTTTGTCTTTTTGTGTTGCAGGCGGAGGCCGATGAGGAAAAGGTTTTGACCATGAGGAAGCTCGTTCTGTCTGGTATTCTGGCCAGCGAAGAGACCTACCTCAACCAGCTGGAGGGCCTCATGCTGGTGAGATCGGGATGAAAACGCGCAACACACGCTCGCACCTACGGGAGACGAATATCCCCCCGCCCGTGTTGCCTGAAGAGACTGTCAGGACAAGTGCTGTTAGTGCACGCTTATGAAGGCCTGCACGGTGCATGAGGGGGTTGTTGGCCAGTACCACGCCCGGCCGCCTTTGTCACACCAGATACTCGTTTGAGGAGAGCACACACACACACACACACAAGCGTGACGTCATGTTCCAATCGCCATCAGGTAATTGAAATGACGACGATTGTAGCCACAACCGCGCAAATTAGCAAGCAGTGCATGACTGTGTCGGACAAAGGCCTCGGATGCTGATGTCACACAAGTACTTCTGAAGGTCAGCAAGGCCTCTTTAGCCACATAAGGAGCACAGGTTTTATAATGCCCTGCACACAGATAAGTCCCCGAGTTACTCTATGGTTTTTTCGGTAAAGTCACGTATAAATAAGAAATAATAAAATAACCTAATAGCGTACGACGTTTCGGTTGCAACACAAGCAGCCATCATCAGGTACAGAAGAGCTAAATTTACGAGAGAGAGGAAACACATAACCCCAGATGTATATACAGACACCCAAGTAGGGGGAACTAACACAGATACAACAGGGGACACAGAGAGAGAATCACACCAAACAAACAGGGTTTGGCAAAATTTGGAAACCATATAAAGCAACACAGACGGTCGGTCAAGTCCCCGAGTTACGATGGTCCGACTTACGATGTTTCGATCTTACGATGGCGATAGCGATACGACAAAATTGTAAAATATTTTACATTTCGCGCGGCAGGCAAACGCAGCAGCGTACGAATCTTGGTGAATACAGTACAATATGATACGTTACGATACGTTCAATGCATGTATGATACGTAGCTTTAACGATTTTATTTTAGGGTTACCACGATACGATACATACGTTCAATGCGTGTTAAAAGTTTTTATAGCAGATAGGATTGTTTCCTGAAAAAACTTTCCATTAAATTGCAGTTCATATAGGTAGGCTAAGAATTTACCTTGTTTTTTTTTTTACTTTACATGTTAATGTGAAATACAGTATTGTAATTAATAAATACACACAGTATATAGTTTATACAGTACGGTACTGTAAATTGCTCTGTTTTGCTAAATTATCACCATTCTTTAAGACTCCTGCGTAGGCTAGGCCATCTTCGACTTACGATATTTTTGACTTACGATGGGGGAGGGTCGTCGTAACGCATCTCCATTGTAAGTGGAGGACGACCCTGTATATTGTTTATCACATATCAACCAAATAGAAAAGTGTTTGTCTCTGGATCGTGGGCCCTGGTGCAGTTATGCTGCCTGCACAACTCAATAGCTATGCCACTGACATTACCCAAAGTGTCACTCACTGGTCAAACGCGATTGTCACCCAGTCACATGGCATGGCTAGCACCTGGCCTGCTCTGGCCCCGGGGCCCAGGTGCAATTGCACCGTCTGCACACTCAGTGTCTTCGCCACTGTTGCCGCCCAGAATGATCGAGCGGTCAATCGCTCAACTCACATCGAACAAAACGGTTTCGACGTACGTCTGTCTGCAAGTGGGTGCGATTATCGCCCCGAAGCGTTTTCGCGTTTCTGCATCATTAATCGCCCTCGCGGCGGTTTAAAGGTAAATTTGTCACTGCCGAACTTCCATTGCAGGAGATGTCCTTTAAACATGGACGTACGTTTGTGGCAGCGTTTTCAACTTCTCCGACAACGCAAGCGTCACGCAACAAATTACGTCCCCTTCTTTGGTTCTTTCGGTAAAGTCACGTAGAATGAGAATAAAATAATAAATTAATACAATAAAATAACACAATTAAATTCTCACGACGTGTTGTGGCCGAAACGTCGTGAGAATTTTATTGCGCTATTTTATTTTATTAATTTATTATTTTATTCTCATTCTACGTGACTTTACCGAAATAAATTACGTCCCGTTCGCTGCTCCGCTCTGTTTGATATGCCTGCTTTTGTTTATTTACCGAGGGCAACATCGGCACGTAAAATGAAGACCTATTGATTGATTATTTCGGCAACCCAGCTCGCTCTCGCAAACGAGAGTGTCCCCACCCTCCCCAACCCCCCGTCTCTCGAGCTGTCGCCCGCTTCGACGAAATCAACTTCGGACGCGAACCCAATTTTTTTGGCGTTTCGCTTTCCTGTGTCCCCCCTCCTCCCCGGCTTTCCCTCGCCCCCCCCCCCCCCCCCGCTCCTGCCAGCCGCTGAAACCGCTGAGGGCGGCCGCCACGACGTCGCAACCACTGCTCACCAACGTTCAGATCGACGCCATCTTCTTATGCCTGCCCGAGATCCTCGCGGTGCACCGCGAGTTCTACGAGGGCCTGCGGCCTCGCGTGCAGCAGGACGACGCCTCGCAGGGCGTGGGCGACCTCTTCCTCAAGCTGGTCAGGGTCTTCTTACGTTGCCCGCCCGGTTGCGCTGATCGGAGCTGTGTGTACGGTTGTTGTTCTTTAACTAAAACTATTTTTTTTTATTGTACCAGGTAAGGGCCACTGAGCTATGTAGCTCTTTTTCAGAAGCCACCTGGCCACAAATTATAGCTCAACGAAATTGCCTCATCGTCGTGTGGACATTTATAGCAGCCAAATGCTCTGAGCACACGAAGTTGATTCGAAAAATGTGGGGTGAAGAAAAAAGGCGCGGGAGATAACATCTCGCCACCACGGCAGCCCTAAACTGAATGTTACATTTCAATAGGAGCCCGGTACAGAGCACAAACCGCCGACACAGGGATGGGGTACAGAGAAACACTGCGGGCCACAGGGCCCAAACACTACGAACCTGGCTGGTTTTAAAGAAGGGAGGGAGAGTGGGCTCGCCGCCCCACCAAATGGGGACCACGAGTGGGGTGTATGTAATGTATGTATGTATGTTGAACTCCTTTCGCGCCGTACGCAGCCAATCGTGCTAATCGGAAGTGCGGGGGAAGGACAATCAGGGTGCTGTGCGTGTGGCGAGATGTTATCCCCCTCACCTGGTATCCAGGAGGTCGGGGATTCGGTCCCGATCCTGATGGCTGTTGTTTATTTCGAGTTTGCACGTTCTCCCCGTGGTCGCGTGGATTTTTGGCCGAGTCCTCCGGTTTTTCCCTCCACATTTAGAAACAACATGCGTTTAGCGTATTTGGCTGCTTTAAATTTCCACGTAATGAGCCACTTCGCTGAGCTATCCATTGTGGCCAGGTCGCTTCTGAAAAAGATGTATAGCTCAGTGGGCTTTATTTCTTAAAATAAAATAAAACGTGTATTTTAAACGAAGTTAGCCTTTGTGGTATGAGTGCAGGTGTTCGGGTGCTCAAACACCAAATAGACACCGATTTGCAAGGCATCAAATCTGCATTTTTATATATGCATTCGATGGCATCAGAAGTTGCTTGATGTATTGTCCAGCGATCGTATGGCCGGTGACACGCCCCAGCGATAGCACGTTCACCGCTTGTTCACGGTTGGAATCTAGTGGCTGCCCTGGTTATTACTGTGGGTGTAATCATTATAATACTACTACTATCATGCGCCGTGTACTTCACAGTGGATGTTGAAGATCCCCTGGCGCAATTCGCAAGAGCAGCTCAATCTGTGCTGGCATCAGGGTTAAAATTTGCCAAGTTCAAAAATTACACAATAAAGTTTTTTGGGTTAGGTCACGCAAGTAGAAATATGTCAAAACCCTCCACCACCCTACACGGCCAATCAGTAAGGGATTTGTCACGTGACAAATACTGATACTTACGCGATCTAACCCCAAAAACCTTTCATATGAATAACATTGATCGCGGAAGCCTACGTGTTAAACTTCAAAAATTACACCGCAAATGACTCAATTGGGATTCGACACACACACAGGGCAGCAGCGATCGTCGCCCCCTACTGGTAGACTCATGACCCAGGTCACTCTTGCAAATGAGACTCATCCTTCTCCCTTCACTTCTCACACTGGTTACGCAAAAGAAACTTGAAACTACGCGTACGGCTCCGCGGAGCGCAAGTTCCGCACGAGTTGGAAAACCGCGTCCACATCTGCGGTGCAGTTCCCCAAGCAGAAGAATACCGTCAGGGCAGATCTTGGGGGGCGCGCGTCCAGTCTGCGGCAGCCGCGGCATCTGGCGGAGGGTAGGAATCGTTGGCGAGGTGTGATGGTGCCAACGGCTTTGGCTACGATGACCTCTTGACCTGGATCAGACTGAGAGCGAATGCATTGGGTGGCAGTGTGCCGATAATAAGTGCTGGTGTGTAATCCCTCCGTACGCTTGCTGGGTTTTCTCTGGCTGCTACAGTTTCCTCCCACATGCACATGTAGGACCTTCCTAAAAAAAATCGTCAGGAGACTCGGTGTGGCTTTCCTGGGTGATTAAAGGTCAGAACGATGTACAGCCGACTGGGGTGTTCGCTTAAACCTTCAGTTTTTATACCACTTTTTGCGACGTCGGGAACTTGGCAATCGGCGATTCGATGAACTTACACCAGAACAGCATGTGCAAGTGAAACGTATATTGCAGAGTTAACCGACGGAAAAAGTTGTTGGTTGTGTGCGTCAGGTGGCGAGGTTGATCCGGCGGAGATTTGGCAATGGTGACGCAGCAGTCGCTGTGGGTAAAAAGAAAAAACCCAAAACAGATGCCGAGTCCATTTTAGTATCGCGATCGGGATGTGACACAATGGGAAACATTTGTGCCTTGTTTCTGCATTGTTATAATAAATAAATAAAAACCATGTGAATAACCCAACCAATAATAAGTACTGCATATTCTCAGATTAACATGATCCATTGTCATTTATATGACTACAGGCAGTCCCCGGGTTACGGAAGGGTTAGGTTCCCGAGAACGATCCGTAACCCTAATTTTCCATACTTTGGAAACTTAATAATTTTCCCACAATCAACGGTAAAATCCCATCGCCAGAAATAGCTGTGCCTCCCCTACCCGATGAATAGTTCCTTTTATCGCACTGTCATCCGTTTTCTGTCAATCCCTGCATCGTATCACTGTACATACGCTCTGCACTTCTTATGATTTAATTTAATCGAATATTTACCCTAACATCACCCGGAATTAAACCAATGGAACATGTACTGTATCCAGCTGTTTATGAATACCACGAAACATTTTAATATTAATTGTTAACAGAAAGCAGTCACTTCCGAATGTTCGTTTACCGTGCATTAGGCTAGGCCTAGGCTTCTTCGATCGCTGTTGGCTGAGACCAGAAGCAATCGAAGTGTAATTGTGTTACATGAAGTACATGCAGTAAATAACTCATGAAATAAACTTAAAATGAAGAAAACTTGGAAATAGAAACATGGGGAAAAAAAGATAGTTATAAGCATGTAAAACAAACAATTACATAATGCTACAAAAGCAAAAGAAGTATGTAACGCTACAAAATTTTGTGTTTACCTTAACCCTAGTGAAACTCGGGCTCGGTGAAGGCCACGTTTTGGTGGAGCGAGGGGCGTAAGGTGGCCCGCCCTTACGCCTCTCGCTCCGCGGTATTCGCAACCTCACTGCGTTGCAGTACTTGCGCTTAATTAACTAACGCAAAAAATATCCGCATCTTGATTTTTTTTGTCATGATTTACGGGGGCATTTCTGTAAAGTCGGTTCATCTGCAACCCTGGGACTTAATGTGCATTAAAATGCCTCCTGTGGTCTTCGCACCTGATCGGCGCACAGTCATGCCATCACCTTTACGCTATTTAAGACCGAAAAGGGGGAAGACTTCTTCACAATTCTGGCTAATTGCCTGATAAAGCTGGTTGTTGTAAACACGCCGGTGTGCTGAAATAGTAACTCATTGAGACGTCTTTGTTTACGTGACAGACCTTACTAATTGGCGGTGTCGGGTGGTAGCGGGTATAACGACACATTTATATTTACGCGATCTAACCCAGAAAAAACCTTCGTGGTAAAAAAAAAAATCATAACAATGATTGAACAAGCATCCCCCCCCCCTTCCCCACCGCCTTTTCCCTTCACCAACGCGCATGACCACTGTTACCTCCTCAACACAAGAACCACTCGAGCACCTGGAGGAGAGTTCGCTCGATCCAAGGTGTTCACTGGAACAGGCGGAGTAACCAATTTGAAAAGGGCCTTTGAACTGAGCCACAAGAGAACGAAGGAAGGAACGGGGCGGCCAGGGCTGGTTCAGAGCTCACTTTATCCACTGACCTTAGCCGTGGCTGGGAATCAAACTCGGCCCGCGTCGTCTCCAGCACCACGTGCTTACGCCGCCGCGCCCGCTGCTTGCCCCGTGCATAGACTTCGGCGCTTGAAAAATGCAACACTCGTTCCGTTATTAATTATTATAGTTATTGTAACAACAACAAGAATCACCGTTGTTCTCATGCCCCCAACGGCAAGAAGCTAAAATCGCCTCTGCAGAAGTGTTTTCAACCAAAAAAAGAGACCTGTCGCGTTACGACGCCATGCGTATTTCTGAAATCTGGGTTCATATGAATATTCTTTTTCTGTTTTCATGCAGAACCGGTGCAGGAAGGGGGGCAGGGGTTGAGGTGGGGTTTGAGTTGTGTTTCGTGGCACGCGAGCTGACCTCAAGCCTGCTGGTTCATGTTTTTTTCTCCAAATTACAAAAACCGCTTTGCTCCTTCTCCGGCGATTGTACGACTATAAACTGATCGAGCAACAACTAACGGCATCTGTCGGCTGACGTTTCTTTTGAAAAATTAAAATAATGACCACGAGAATTCTAAGTGCAACAGCTAAAGTTTCCCTGATGTGCGGCAAGTTAGTGCCACAGTAGTTTGCACGTTGTGATAAAAAACCACGGTGGGCTGAGTTTGATTATTTGACAGAGGTTGAATGGTAATAATTTAGTACATTTGGTATTTGTGCCATTCTTTTTTAAGAGGCGACCGGCCACACGTGATAGCTCATTGATGTGACTTTTACCATCACACGTGGGAATTTATAGAAGCAGCCAAATAATCTAAACGTGCGTTTCTAAATATGGAGGGCGCAAAACTGTAGGAGCCGGAGATCAATCCATGCGACCACCACAGGGCATTTTCAAGGTCCAGGATCGAACCCACGACCTCCTGCATACCAGGCGAGGGAGATAACATTTCGCTACTGCAGCACCCCAAGTGAAAGATGGCTTTAGCTCAAAAAATAAAACCAAGATTCATCAACAAATCTTGAGTATAATTTCTGAAGGCCATTCCACAAGGCAGATGAAATGGTCATGCCGAGCAAGATTGATGAATTCACTACGTATGAGGTCAACAGTGTGAAACGCAATCGAAGAAACTATGCTCTCGCAAATATGAACCATCTGTGTTTTGATTTTTTCCTTGTCCAGGCCAACCACCTTGACTACTACAAGAAGTTTGTGGACAACTACAAGACTGCGGTGGAGATGGCCGATAAGTGCAGCAGCGCGGACGCTCAGTTCGCCAAGATTTCAGAGGTTTGGCTGGAAGCTGCAATAGAGTGGCACATTTTTACGTTTTCCCACGACGCTTGGTGAAAGCATTAATGCCTCAGCTTGGCCCGTCCATCCATCCGTCCGTCTTGTCTGTAACACGGTAGCACGGTGGCTGTCGTAAAGATGGTTTAAGACGAGAACGACGCCCTATCGGAATGTTGCGTCGTTATCAGGAATTTACCCTGGAGGAAACGGTCGCAATTTATAGAAGTGGTTCCCAAAATGTGGGAGATGAAAACCAGTGCTGGGAGAAAAAAACAGAACAGCGACACGTGCCGTAATTTTGTTGTGCGTGTGGCATCATCTCGCTGTCGGTAATAGTCGGGATACCGTTCCAGGACAAACGCATGTTGGAAAGCGTTACACGATCAACGCATATGTATGCGTGATTTTTGGTCCTTTTGTTTAAAGTGACCTTGGAACACATCTGACTCGATTTTAATGAGGCTAGCACCAAACCTCTCTCTTAGAGCCCAAGTCTTAACCTTTAGCAGTCCTGGCACTTACCCTAATCCTAACATACATTGTTAATGTTAGCATTAAATAAAGGGATTGCCTTGTTAACGCTTAATCCAATTTCACAGGGCAAGCCTTATTAAAAGCTGCATTTGCATTTAGGACTATTTGCTCTTTGCATTACAGAGCTTGCGTTTTGTAGATTCCTGCAGTGTGAATGTGCTAAATGGCCTAATATGAGTGTGCAAATGGGATTAAACAGTGGGGAGTACAGCACAGCATTTGTATTTCGAGCAGCTTTCCTCCATTGCACCAGACGGAGACAAAAGATCACCCTCCGTATTCTTCACCAGCCTGTTGGGGCGAGTGCTGTTAGTGAGCATTCCGAAGGCCAACGCGGTGGTTTGGACAACACCGTTGCCGGTCGCCGATGATCACACGCTTGCGTTGTGGCTGAGTTGAGGTTGAGTTGAGAGGCCGAATTCTGGTTCAGATGTTCGTCGCTAAGTTTGGCCCTTGACGGTGATGAAACTCGGGTCACGGGATTCCGTGCCAACTACTGTGCCACAACCACTCCACCCCTTGTTATCCAAGACAAACAGAGGCAGAGGAGGTCATGGGTTTGAGCCCAACCCTGACGCCTGTTGTATATTTGGGGTTTACATGTTCTCCCCGTGGTAGTGTGGATTTTTCTTAGGGTCCTCCGGTTTTCCCCTCCACATTTAGAATCAACGTACTTTTTAGAGCATTTGGCTACTGTAAATTTCCACGTGATAAGCCACTTCGTTGAGCTATCATTTGTGGCCAGGTCACTTCTGAATAAGAGCTACATCGCTCAGTGGGTCTTATCTGGTAAAATAAAACAAATTGTAATCGTAGTTAAGGCCAGCACAATACATAAAAGGGGTGGGTGGCCAGCACCACATCCCAGCCACTTTTGTTTATCCAGTGATGATGCTTACACACCGCATCAGTCACTCATTGACGGCTGACTCGATCTAGGGGAGATCTAAGACCGGTTCGGATATTCGTCACCGATGTTGGCTTTGAGTGGGAATTGTCCTCGGGTTGCCGGGGTTTGTAGGGCGTAGCACACTAACCGCTGCGCCACCACTCCCCACCCTTGTACGTGTATACGCTGGCACGCATTCAACTCCATACGTCTCGTGTCTTGTCATTGTTTTTTTAATGCAGAGGTTGAAGGTGAAGAGCTCTTCTGGATCCAAAGAACAAGCAAGCGCATCGTCTCTGGAAGGTACCACAGCGAGGGACTAGGGAGGCAGTCTGTGCTTTAGGCTTTTATGTCCAGATGTGATTCTAGCCCCAAGCTGCAGACCCGCGTTCTGATCCGGCAGACTGGATAATCACGTGGGTGTGCACGAGTGGCCGACGTGACGTGACGTCGTGACGCCGAACGCGTACCTCCAGGCCTCTCGCCTCTCTCTCTCGTCTCGCTTTTTCGTATCAATAAACCCCTTATCCCTCGTCCTACAGCTCTCTCGATCTCTCGTTTATCCCTCGCTTTCACCTCGCTAATCCGCCTCTATTTATGTACCTCGGCAAGGCGTATATCACAGTGAGCCATGTCTCTCGGCGGGCCACTCCACAAGCCCCGTCACGGGCGACGTGGCCAGCTGGCCCGCCAGTCGTGGAAGCCCTCTTTCAGACCACCGTGTTTCCCATCCCGTCGGTTACAAATGGTCGTTGTGGTGCGCGTGTTGCCCGGCAGCGCTCCTGTACAAGCCCGTGGACAAAGTAATGCGCAGCACGCTCGTCCTGCACGTGAGTAGAACTCGTGACGCAGACACCTTGCGGAGGGAACCGCGAGACACAGCGTTGGATTTGTTCATCGCGTAAAGGCGCGTGAATCTCACGGCCTCGCAACGCTGAGCTGACAACGGCGTAACGGTTCATACACGGGCATTTGAAATCCAGAGGTTGCCGGATTTGTTCCGTCTCCTGAAGCAGACGGTGCAAGTTTTTCACCGACCCCGCTGCCTCTATCCACCCTGGTGTGCGAAAGAGGTTCAACATACATGCGTACACCCTGCAGGATAAATGGCTACACCAGAGTTAGTCAATCGGTAGGCCGTGTGCCGTTTGGGTGAAGTGTTGGGTACGCCTCGAGCTCTTCCAACGTGTTGGAAGATGGGACGAGAGTTTGTCCTGGCGGGGAAGGGGGGCGGGTGGCCCTTCCGCCAGCAGAGGCCTGAATAAGCAATTGCAGGGCACTGCACCTTTACTTTTTTATCACTGGAAAGCCAGAGATTTAGTGATCAGAATGATCAGGATCAAAGTCTTAATTTTAGACTGGAGGAATCTGATGAGCTATGAAGCTCTTTATCACAGATGTCCAGTAAGTGATGCTACACGTCACCCTTTAGATATGGCAAAGAAAGGGGCGTGAAAATAATAATTTCAATTGCGAATCTCTTGATTTGTTTACTTAAGGATATCTCGCTCATACGGGGTTTGCGATTCATTTTTTTTTATCAGATTAAGTACTGTTTATATGAATGGGAGTCTTTTAAAAAAAAATCCATAGCGCTGATGAGAAGTGCAGGTCACTCGTGAAGAGGAAGAACAAATCACATCTCCTTTATATGTATTCTTATGACAGCCTATTTCACAGATTTACTCAATCTTCATTAAAAATGAGCTTCGTTATTATTTGCGACAGATTCCACCCAAGGTCCATTTTAAGCGGGGTGCTGCTGTAACATAAATGTGTAAATCGCAGCACACAGCACCAGGTTTTGCTGTTATCGTTATCACCACCACCACCATCATCATCAGTTAAGTGTAGCCGCTTCGTCTTCTGCCACCACGGTGAATCGTCGTGAGCAGGACCTGCTGAAGCACACGCCGCGGTCGCACGACGACTACCCGGCCCTGGAGGAGGCGCTGCGCATCTCCCAGAACTTCCTCTCCCACCTCAACGCCGAGGTGACGTCGCATCGAGCGAATCTGCGCAGGGGAGAGGTGAGTAGCCGCCCCCCACGCTACTGGTTACTCCCCACAGCGTCACTCCCTACTGGTTACTCCTCACAGCGTCACTCCCTACTGGTTACTCCTCACAGCGTCACTCCCTACTGGTTACTCCCCACAGCGTCGCTCCCTACTGGTTACTCCCCACAGCGTCACTCCCTACTGGTTACTCCTCACAGCGTTGCTCCCTACTGGTTACTCCTCACAGCGTCACTCCCTACTGGTTACTCCTCACAGTGTCACTCCCTACTGGTTACTCCTCACAGCGTCACTCCCTACTGGTTACTCCTCACAGTGTCACTCCCTACTGGTTACTCCTCACAGCGTCACTCCCTACTGGTTACTCCTCACAGTGTCACTCCCTACTGGTTACTCCTCACAGTGTTGCTCCCTACTGGTTACTCCTCACAGCGTCACTCCCTACTGGTTACTCCTCGCAGCGTTGCTCCCTACTGGTTACTCCTCACAGCGTCGCTCCCTACTGGTTATTCCCCACAGCGTCACTCCCTACTGGTTACTCCTCACAGCGTCGCTCCCTACTGGTTACTCCTCACAGTGTCACTCCCTACTGGTTACTCCTCACAGTGTCGCTCCCTACTGGTTACTCCCCACAGCGTCACTCCCTACTGGTTACTCCTCACAGCGTCACTCCCTACTGGTTACTCCTCACAGCGTCACTCCCTACTGGTTACTCCCCACAGCGTCGCTCCCTACTGGTTACTCCCCACAGCGTCACTCCCTACTGGTTACTCCTCACAGCGTTGCTCCCTACTGGTTACTCCTCACAGCGTCACTCCCTACTGGTTACTCCTCACAGTGTCACTCCCTACTGGTTACTCCTCACAGCGTCACTCCCTACTGGTTACTCCTCACAGTGTCACTCCCTACTGGTTACTCCTCACAGCGTCACTCCCTACTGGTTACTCCTCACAGTGTCACTCCCTACTGGTTACTCCTCACAGTGTTGCTCCCTACTGGTTACTCCTCACAGCGTCACTCCCTACTGGTTACTCCTCGCAGCGTTGCTCCCTACTGGTTACTCCTCACAGCGTCGCTCCCTACTGGTTATTCCCCACAGCGTCACTCCCTACTGGTTACTCCTCACAGCGTCGCTCCCTACTGGTTACTCCTCACAGTGTCACTCCCTACTGGTTACTCCTCACAGTGTCGCTCCCTACTGGTTACTCCTCACAGTGTCACTCCCTACTGGTTACTCCTCACAGTGTCGCTCCCTACTGGTTACTCCTCGCAGCGTCGCTCCCTACTGGTTACTCCTCGCAGCGTCGCTCCCTACTGGTTACTCCTCACAGCGTCGCTCCCTACTGGTTACTCCTCACAGCGTCGCTCCCTACTGGTTACTCCTCACAGTGTCGCTCCCTACTGGTTACTCCTCGCAGCGTCACTCCCTACTGGTTACTCCTCACAGCGTCGCTCCCTACTGGTTACTCCTCACAGCGTCGCTCCCTACTGGTTACTCCTCACAGTGTCACTCCCTACTGGTTACTCCTCACAGTGTCACTCCCTACTGGTTACTCCTCGCAGCGTCGCTCCCTACTGGTTACTCCTCGCAGCGTCGCTCCCTACTGGTTACTCCTCACAGTGTCACTCCCTACTGGTTACTCCTCACAGCGTCACTCCCTACTGGTTACTCCTCGCAGCGTTGCTCCCTACTGGTTACTCCTCACAGCGTCGCTCCCTACTGGTTATTCCCCACAGCGTCACTCCCTACTGGTTACTCCTCACAGCGTCGCTCCCTACTGGTTACTCCTCGCAGCGTCGCTCCCTACTGGTTACTCCTCACAGCGTCGCTCCCTACTGGTTACTCCTCACAGTGTCACTCCCTACTGGTTACTCCTCACAGTGTCACTCCCTACTGGTTACTCCTCGCAGCGTCGCTCGCTACTGGTTACTCCTCGCAGCGTCGCTCCCTACTGGTTACTCCTCACAGCGTCGCTCCCTACTGGTTACTCCTCACAGCGTCGCTCCCTACTGGTTACTCCTCACAGTGTCACTCCCTACTGGTTACTCCTCGCAGCGTCGCTCCCTACTGGTTACTCCTCGCAGCGTCGCTCCCTACTGGTTATTCCCCACAGCGTCACTCCCTACTGGTTACTCCTCACAGCGTCGCTCCCTACTGGTTACTCCTCACAGTGTCACTCCCTACTGGTTACTCCTCACAGTGTCACTCCCTACTGGTTACTCCTCACAGTGTCACTCCCTACTGGTTACTCCTCGCAGCGTCGCTCGCTACTGGTTACTCCTCGCAGCGTCGCTCCCTACTGGTTACTCCTCACAGCGTCGCTCCCTACTGGTTACTCCTCACAGCGTCGCTCCCTACTGGTTACTCCTCACAGTGTCACTCCCTACTGGTTACTCCTCACAGCGTCACTCCCTACTGGTTACTCCTCGCAGCGTCGCTCCCTACTGGTTACTCCTCACAGCGTCACTCCCTACTGGTTACTCCCCACAGCGTCACTCCCTACTGATTACTCCTCACAGCGTCACTCCCTACTGGTTACTCCTCACAGTGTCGCTCCCTACTGGTTACTCCTCGCAGCGTCGCTCCCTACTGGTTATTCCCCACAGCGTCACTCCCTACTGGTTACTCCTCACAGCGTCGCTCCCTACTGGTTACTCCTCACAGCGTCACTCCCTACTGGTTACTCCTCACAGTGTCGCTCCCTACTGGTTACTCCTCACATCGTCGCTCTTTACTGGTTACTCCTCACAGTGTCGCTCCCTACTGGTTACTCCTCACAGCGTCACTCCCTACTGGTTACTCCTCACAGTGTCGCTCCCTACTGGTTACTCCTCACAGCGTCGCTCCCTACTGGTTACTCCTCGCAGCGTCGCTCGCTACTGGTTACTCCTCACAGTGTCACTCCCTACTGGTTACTCCTCACAGCGTCGCTCCCTACTGGTTACTCCCCACAGCGTCACTCCCTACTGGTTACTCCTCACAGCGTCGCTCCCTACTGGTTACTCCTCACAGTGTCACTCCCTACTGGTTACTCCTCACAGTGTCACTCCCTACTGGTTACTCCTCACAGCGTCACTCCCTACTGGTTACTCCCCACAGTGTCACTCCCTACTGGTTACTCCTCACAGTGTCACTCCCTACTGGTTACTCCTCACAGCGTCACTCCCTACTGGTTACTCCCCACAGTGTCACTCCCTACTGGTTACTCCTCACAGTGTCACTCCCTACTGGTTACTCCTCACAGTGTCACTCCCTACTGGTTACTCCTCACAGCGTCGCTCCCTACTGGTTACTCCTCACAGCGTCGCTCGCTAATGCTGCTCAGGGAGCCGCTCGAAATGTATTTTATTTAATGTCGACTCTTGTTCGTGTCGTATTCTCGATTTCTCCTCCAACTCAGTTGGTTTTGCTCTGATTTCTGTTGGCATCATTGGTGTACCACAATTGCCTTTGCCGGTTTTGTTTGCCCTGGTTCACGCGTGCAATGAGACCATCCTGGTCTCTGGTTCTCACTTTAGTTAAACAAATAAACTTGAATCTGTCCTACCCCCTCCCCTTCTCTCCCCACCCCCTTCCCCACCTCTCCTGTTTCCCCCGTGTCGTTATTCTAACGAGGCCGCGCCGCTGTCGTGCAGGGCTACTCCATGCTGCGCGACGGCTTCCTGGTGGAGCTCGTGGAGTGCTCCCGCAAGCTGCGTCACGTGTTCCTCTTCGACAAACTGCTCCTCTGCACCAAGCTGAAGAAGCAGATCTCGGGGTGAGAGCTCTTGGCGTGTGACGTTAGCCGCGGCCGCAGCAATCGAAACAACAACGCGGGTTTCTGCAAGCTTCACGTCGCAGTGTGCAAACCACCGCGTTGCCACCACCCCCCCCCCCCCAGCCCCTCACCCCACCCCTTATTGAAATGTCACTGATGGTCGGCAATAATGATTCCGTGGCACCGGGACAGTGGAAGAACGAAATCGGCTGGTTTACAGCCGTTCGGTGGATTATTACATCGCAGGACCGGGAAAGATGGTGACAGCTTGGGGAGACCTTCATCCAACAGTGGATTGATCATGGCTGCTGCTGCTGCTGCATGATGATAATGATAATGATTTTCAGTTAAGTGCCGATTTAAATCACGTTAGTCGGAGCCAACCGATTAGCACGGTTAGGCTACGTACGTTTGCGAAAGAATTTCAACGTACGTACATACGCACATAGAAGCGTGATACGGCGCGAAACTCTGGCGCTACGCGCGGGAGCTTGCGGAGGAGCATCGCTCCGGCTCACCACGCCACCACCGCCCTCTCCTCGTGCGCCCGCCAGGAAGCAGCAGAACTACGAGTGCAAGTGGTACCTGCCGCTGGTGGACCTGAGCTTCGTGCCGTTGGACGAGACGGAGGGCAGCCCCCCCATCCACGTGGCCACGGAGGAAGAGCTGGAGGCGATGAAGGGCAAGATCTCGCAGATCAAGAGCGAGATCACGCGAGAGAAGGTACGGGGAGCGCTCGCAGTCCCCCTCCGCTGGTTCGCGAGCCACGGGTGCCACGTGCCAGCGAGCCAGTGCACCAGACGACCGCACGTGACCTAGGATTGGGTCGAGCAAGCCCCGTCTCTGACCTGATAGCGACGGTGGCGAGATGTTAACTCCCTCGCCTGGTATGCAGGAGGTCGTGGGTTCGATCCCGACCCTGGAGTTTGCGTGTCTCTCTCCGTGGCCAGGTCACCTCTGAAAAAGAGCGAAATAGCTCAGTGAGCCTTACCTGGTATAATTAAAATCTTTAGTTTCGTTTTAATGGATTGGTAGTTGCCATCCCATGTCACCTTCTGTAGGGGGAGCAACGAGCAGGCGTGTTCGGATTTGGACAACTGCAGTAGAATTTGCTCCACTTGTCCATGACAAACTGCTGACAAGATGAGTCGTTTATTTTCTCAGCAGTGCATGCCAGGAAACGGTGCTGGTGTAGACCCGCGGATAAAACTGCATATGTAGGTTACATTTTCAGCGTGACTCCACTCATGGGTGAAAAATGGGCAGATATTAGGAAGCTATTTCATACTGTGGGTTTTGAAAAAAATGCTTGTAATCTCGCAATAATATAAATAAAGGGGGCATGGATAACAGGGGTTTGCATGGACCCTACAGCTGCCACGGATAATAGGGGCCATGGGTAATGGGGCTGCGAGTAAGAGGATTTTTGTACAATTATTTTAATAAAAAACATCCTCTGATGGATGCCAGATGCCTTTGGCTTCATACATCATGGATCTGAGTGTGTCTCTGACCTTGTAGATCAAATCCTTCCAGTCTCTCCTCGCCCGGTGGCCAGGGCTGTTAACCGACCGCCTAAAACCCATACCTTGCCACGTTTTGATTTCACCGAGTTTCACCGTAAAAGTCAAAACTAGTCCACGGTTTTGCTTCATTAACCTTTTAAGAAAACTCATGTGGGGAAAGCATCGTTCTTGGATGGCCTGTCGGTGGGAAGGTTAACCGGGCACTTTATTTCCTTTGTGGAGATTAAACAAATCTGTCTCAGCTCGTCAATTGCCGTTCCTTTAATCGCACACGGATTCTGTTGCTCATTATTTCCCCCGGTACAGCGAAGGTAGCTATTATTACGACACGCACACCATAACAAACTCGTCGCTGCCGTTTACGTAATGACTTAATTAAAGTGCGGCGGAAATGTACAATTAGTGTAATTTTTCTCTTTATTAAAACGTAGTCGCTGCTGCTGAAAGCCTGTTTTCGCCCAGGTTTGGATGTAATTACCACCGTCTTTAATGCACCTCTGCGTCGGTGTTGTACTCGGCTTGTAATCATCGTCAGGGACGCGTAGATGATGAAGGCTCGTGGCGCCAACCAGAGTGTCCACCGCGTTCCACCGCGTTGCAGATGGAGGCCTCCATAGGGGTAGTAGGCCAGCGTCACGACAGATGTACGTATGTACGTTCAACTTCCTTTCGAATCCTACGTAGCCAACCGTGCTACGTAGGGGGAAGGACATCCAATTAAACACAAAAAAGCAGTTCTAACGACATGAGTTTTCAATCTAGATGATTTAAAAGTGCGCAGCTCCAGCGGCTTCCTAATATCGGAAGGAAGAGCGTTCCAGACGGCCGAAGAGGTGCACCTGAAAGCGCGCGATACAGCGACCGTCCTTGTTCGATGGCGGGCCAAAAGACGAACCCACGAGTCTCTGGGACGGCCAATCGGATGTTGCCGTGATGGAGAGGCGTTCCAGATCCCACACTCCACGTGATCGTGCAAACGTAGGGCACGGCGTACGTGAGAGCCGCCCTCCGTCACGGCAACTGCGAGGGTCACGGTCGGTGTTTGGAGAGGAGAGTGAGGCATTTGTCCACGGCATCGCTCGCACTAATTGTCTGGCCAGCCGTGAGCCCATCCGTTACCGTGTACCGAGGGTACATCGGTGGCATTGGCGAGGAGGAGGAGGGTCACGTACCGGTAGGGGGCACCCGGGGTCTAACAGAAGACTTTGAAATCGCTCGCCGTTGTTTTTACGTCGGAAAGACTCGCCGAGCGCCGGGAACCTTTTGCAGGAGGGTTCCTGGGAGGTTTTTCGCATTTGGGAGCGACGCTGCTGTGCCTAATTCACCGGTGGAGTTATTTGCTTCAATAAATAAAGAGTGGCTTGAAGGAACGGAAGGTGAGAATGCTTAGATGGATGTTGCGAACACCTCCGATTAGCACAGTTGCTGCAAGAGCGCAGAAGCGTGGTCACCACATCTACGCCTCTATATAAGGAACGACACAGTAAGACTTCTCCACAATTCTGGCTGTTGCCTGATGAAGCTGGTTGTAATTACTGGCGAAACGTCGTACTCAGTTTGTAAATGTTGTGGCTTGGCTCTCCAACACACCGGTGTGCTGTACTCGTGACGAATTGGCCACGTTCTGTTTACGTGATAACCCTTACTAGTTGGCTGTGTTGGGAGGTGGCGTGTTTAAACGACACATTTGTATATTTACGCCATCTAACCAAAAAAAAACTATTATGGCAGATAAAGAACTTGTTTGTGTGTAGTTGGTCATTTTTTTTTTTTTTATCTCATTCCAAAAACGTTTTGGCTTCTCACACGAGGTGCGGGCTGGAGCGCATTACCTCTGATGGCCCTTGGCCAGTGATGCGAATTTCACATTCCTAGGGTGGCAGCCACAGCCAAAAAGTAGAACAACTTACTGATGGCTTTGCTATATAAGTGTTTGGTGAGCAGTTTCTTGCTCATGCCAATGCTGGCGGAAGAGTCTCCGCTAAGTCGACCCCTCGGCCTGGATTCGAACCTACAACTTTACAAATGCTTTCCAATTTAGATTTCTTTTGTTCACGTTAGATTATGCAGTGTATAACGTACGTCGTTAACCATCACCTTTTCGCCACCCGGCAGAGCGCATGGAATGAAGTTGTCATATCATGGGTGAATACTGAGCTTTGTTAACACCAGATAGTGCTGGTTGTAAACCTCCGGAAGGTTGTGGGCTCGATCCCAACCCTGATGCCTGCTGCTGTATATTTGGAGTTTGCGTGTCTCACACTCGTCATCATCACGGTGGCTAGGAGATGTTAACTACCTCGCCTGATATATAGGAGGTGCGTGGGTTCGATCCCGACCCTGACGCCTGCTGCTGCTGTAGATTTGGAGTTTGCGTGTCTCTCTCCCTCATCATCATCACGGTGGCTAGGAGATGTTAACTACCTCGCCTGGTATACAGGAGGTCGTGGGTTCGATCCCGACCCTGATGCCTGCTGCTGTATATTTGGAGTTTGCGTGTCTCTCTCTCATCATCATCATCACGATGGCTAGGAGATGTTGATTACCTCGCCTGGTATGCAGGAAGTCGTGGGTTCGATCCCGACCCTGACGCCTGCTGCTGCTGTATATTTGGAGTCTACGTGTCTCTGTCATCATCACAGTGGCTAGGAGATGTTAACTACCTCGCCTGGTGTACAGGAGGTCTTGGGTTCGATCCCGACCCTGACGCCTGCTGCTGTATATTTGGAGTTTGCGTGTCTCTGTCATCATCACAGTGGCTAGGAGATGTTAACTACCTCGCCTGGCGTACAGGAGGTGCGTGGGTACGATCCCGACCCTGACGCCTGCTGCTGCTGCTGCTGTATATTTGGAGTTTGCGTCTCTCTACCCGTGGTCGCGTGGATATTTTTCTCCGAGTCCTCCGGCTTTTTTCCCTCCACGTTTGTGAACTTGCCTTAAGACAACTTAGATAATTTTGCTGCTATAAATGTCCAAATGATGAGCCGCTTTGTTGAGCTATCATTTGTGGCCAGGTCGCTATTGAAAAATAAATGAATACCTCAGTGGGCTTTGCCTGGTAGGATGGGGATGGCTTAGTGTTGTATTTGCACGTGTTTGGGCGATTTGTTTACCTTTCTTACACTTTCCACTCCCATCGTGGTTTTGTATTGTGTTTGTTGCTGTAACGTTCTTACCCGCCCCGACTGAACATCTGTGAAAAAGAGCTTCATAGCTCATCGGATTTCTCCAGTATACATGAATATTCTGATTCTGATCCGGTTTTAGTGAAAAGCCACATCAATCGGCATGTTTGCCCCATGACGTGACGACTTGATATTGGTTGGCTCCGTCGGGTGGCTAGAGGGTTATCGTACAAAAAAATTCACAGAACACCTTCGCGATCTAACCCAGGAAGAAACCAATTACGAAACGTCATAATGTCGGTCGTCAAAGCCTCTGGGTACAATTAACCGTCCCACTGTAAGAGCTGCCCGGGTCATTACGCTGCAGCCACAGAGCTGTTTACAACTCCAAAGGGAATAAAAAAAATCGCTAATTTGAGTAAGCCGTATCAAAGCGGAAAACCACGCACGGAGGAATATATATATAGGAATATATATTGTAGGAATATTATATATATTCCTACGCGTGTGCTTTTCCACTTTGATAAAGCTTATTCTTAAGAATGCTAAGAAACCCATTAGCAACATCAGCAAAAATGAACGCTCTGAACTCGCGCATTTAAAAAACAGAAGTGATATAATCATCCTCTCAGCCGACAAAGGCAACGCTACTGTAATTATGGATAAAGATTCGTACAACAACAAAATGCAGAACCTACTCAACGATGGAAGTTACTCAAAAATAAAAAATGACCCTACTAATAGCCTAACTATAAAAAAACAACAAGATCATCACAAGTTCGACCTCCCTAATCGAACCAACTAAACATCCCTCCCTAAAACCTTCTGCTGCAAGACCCCCTAGATTCTATGGTCTCCCCAAAATTCATAAAGAAGGCACTCCACTACGACCCATCGTATCCACGATCAACTCCCCTACCTATAGACTAGCCCGTTTTCTGTCAGATACCTTGCTACCTTTCACTGGTAAGACCTCCTCAGCAGTACTTAACTCAGCCCAATTGGTCTCTATGGTCAAAGACGTTGTACTGTCCCCTGACGATATCCTTGTCAGCTTCGATGTGGTCTCCCTGTTCACCAAGGTCCCGGTACCTGATACCATTGAAATAATTGAAAATTTGGTACAACATGGACTAGACCCCGATACACCTGCGCTGGTTAGACACTGCCTCACCAATACATACTTTACTTGGAATGGCACCTTCTACAAACAAAATGAGGGTACCCCCATGGGTTCTCCCTTATCACCAGTGATAGCCAATGTTTTCATGGAGAAATTTGAATCAGACGCCATCCAGACTTTCACCCTCAGACCTTCCCTGTCGAAGAGATATGTGGATGACATTTTCGTCATTTGGCCACATGGCCTCCCACCTTTGAACCTTTTCCTACACCACATCAATTCCAGACATCCCACCATCAAATTCACCATGGAAGTGGAGAAAGATGGTAAGCTACCATTCTTGGATGTTCTGTTTGAGAGGAGTCCTGATGGCTCATTGGGGCATTCTGTCTACAGGAAACCCACCCACACAGATTCCTACTTGAAACCTGATTCCCACAACCACCCAGCTCAAAATAATTTTCTCATCAAAACGTTATACCACAGGGCTCATTGCATTTCGGACCAACACCACCTGACCAGTGAATTAAAACATGTACACCTGGCCCTCAAGAGAAACGGATACTCTGACCGTACCATCCGCCAAGCTGTTTCTCCCTCCATACAGAAACAACCACTTGATACTCCGGTCAAGACCATCACACTACCATATATAGCAGGCGCTACTAAGAAGATCTCCAAAATTCTAAACAAACACAATATCCTGGTCCGGTTCAATACAGTACACAAAATCTGTGACCTGATCCCATCCGTGAAGGATGTCATTCCTGACTTACAGTACCCTGGGGTTTACAAATTGATCTGCACCTGTGGTGATTGCTATATCGGGGAGACGAAGCGACATGTCTCTGACCGAATTTGCGAGCACAAATCAGATTTGAAACACGGCAGAACGAATTCTTCTGCCGTGGCTGACCACTGTTACAACGCTGTGGGTGATCACGATATAGTGTTCTCCGATACCCAGGTCCTTTGCAAACCCACAGGTTATCATCAGAGATTTGTACACGAGGCAATTCAGATTTACAAACACAGACACAATTTCAACCGAGAAGATGGTTTCAAATTAAGCAATCATTGGAAAGATGTTCTAAATCATACCAAACATTAAACTAATTTCAATGGTACAGTATATTTATCCAAGTAGTGATATACCAAACTTTCACAGCAGCTTATTTCCCTTCAAGACAACGTTTGCATTGTGAAATTCCCCTCCCCCCCCCCCCCCCCCCCCCCCCCCCCCCCCCATGTTAAGTGTTCTATCAGCACTTCAAGTGTTCTATCAGCACTTTATGCTAATTCCTTTGTCAAACGTTTGGTTTCCTCCCACACAGCTTAAAGGACGCGACCTGGCTTGACTTTCTTTACTCCGACGCTGTCTTCGTGACAGCACGGTCCCTTCACCCGATGAAGGCCACTTGTGCTGTGGCCGAAACGTCGTGATTTTTGTTGTTTTGTTTTTTTACCTACGTGACTTTACCGAATAGAGCCAAAGAGTACCGATGAAGCTCGCTCAAATTAGCGATAGATAATCTTTTCATCTTTGCATCTTCCGCGGCATTTGCTGTGTGCCCTAAAAGATGGATGGCTCATCATTTACACATGAAAGGGGCACAATCACAGGGCGGGTTCCCCGGGGGCCTTCCTCCTCCTCCTCTTCCTCCTCCTCCTCGCGGCCCCAATGCATTTTACATAAACCTGTCCTCATGCGCAGGTCGTGCGAGCACGACGTGACGCGCGTGTTGTTATTTGCGTGCCTGGTGAAAGTGTTCAGAGGTTTTCCTCTCCCCCATGTCATAGTCCTTGCGTAGGTTGTTGTCGTCGATGGTGCCTGAAGGATAATGGCACTCGGGGGGCGAGCGGCGACGTGACGGTTAACAGAGTCGTATAGAATAATTACTTGTGCCGGAGGAATCCGATGAGATTATGAAGCTCTTTTTTCACAGATGTCCAGCAGGGGCGGGTCAGAAAGTTACTTAACGCACGGCGGAAATCTTGAGTTCTGTGAACCCGACGAGTTTGATTCTCGGGCTAACATCTGCAGTGAATAGTGCAATCAGAACCGCCCCCTGCCTACTCTCCTCACCCTCCACCTATCCTCCCCACCCTCTGTCACCCTGACCCTGCCTACCCTTCCCCCACTCTCTGTCACCCTGACCCTGCTTACCCTCCCCCACCCTCTGTCACCCTGACCCTGCGTCTACCCTCCCCCCACCCTCTGTCACCCTGACCCTGCGTCTACCCTCCCCCCACCCTCTGTCACCCTGACCTTGCCTACCCTCCCCCACCCTCTGTCACCCTGACCTTGCCTACCCTCCCCCACCCTCTGTCACCCTGACCTTGCCTACCCTCCCCCACCCTCTGTCACCCTGACCCTGCGTCTACCCTCCCCCCACCCTCTGTCACCCTGACCCTGCGTCTACCCTCCCCCGCCCTCGGCTGACAGAAAGCGAACAAGAACAGCCGCTCGTTGGAGCGGTTGAAGAAGAAGTTGTCGGAGCAGGAGTCGCTGCTGCTGCTGACGTCACCCAGCATGCCGCTGAGGCTCCACACGAAGCACGGCAAGGTACGCCGGCCCACGTGCCGGTCACAGGAACACGCATTGAGATTTCATTTTTGTTTTAGATTCTTTCGCCGCTATACAGGGTGTCGCATACGTCTGGAATCATTGGAGAAATAATACAAAAAAGCCAATCATAACGCTTTTAGTCGCAGACTTTTATTCACAGACTTTTTGGGACTTGTGCTAAAATGAGCGAGGAATTTGCAGTGGGTGTGTCATCATGGGGGGATCTCCTCGAAGGTCCACCGCATGGTTTTTCTTGAATGGATCCCGTTTCCCTAAACTTTGCAACGCGTTTGCTAACACAGCTCTGTGTTATTGGCCCGCGGTCTGGATCAGTCTGTTAGATTCAACGGCTACCTCCCTCTGACTCCGATATCCTACGAGCAGAAATATCCGGACTCGTTCTTCCTTTCTCAGAGACGTGTTGGGCCTGCAGAAACAAACAAAAAATATGATTGCGTTATTCTTCCTTATGATTCCAGACTTATGGCCACCCTGTAGATGTCCACGTGATGGGCCGCTTTTGTTGGGCTGCCATTCGTGGCCCAGGTCGCTTCTGTGAAAGAAGTTGATACCTCGGTGGGGTTTTGCCAGTTAGGATGGAGATGGTTTAGGTCTATTTGTATGTGTTTGTGCGACTTTGTTTGCCTTTCTCGTGCTTTGCACCTGCGTCGTGTGGTTGTATTGTCTGTCGTTGTAACGTTTTTACCCGCCCCTATTGGACATCTGTGGAAAAGAGCTTTATAGCTCGTCGGATTCCTCCAGTGGAAAGCGCACTTGGGGTACGGCTCTTCTGTTCTCTAAACAAGGAGGGCTTTGGCAGCAGGGGAACGTCCGTGTGCTCTGGGTCTACTAATGAGCCAACAGTGTAAACAGCTTTGACAAACAATAACAATAAAAGGCTTTCCTTTCAAAAAATCGTTCTCGCCGCTTCGGGGCACGGCGTGCATCGGTGTGTTTCTGCTCATTTTCAACGCAGCTGAGATCTCCGCTTGAAACCCGTTTACCTTTCGTTACGACGGAATTGTCTGACCAGACAGGCTCGCTTGCTTTTGTTGTAGTTTTATACATGAATCAGAATATTTATTTATACTGGAGGAATCCGATGTGCTATAAATCTCTTTTTCACAGATGTCCAGTAGTTCACACATGTCCAGTAGTTCACATGTGAGGTGTGATGTCAGCGGTGTAGCTTTCGAGCGTGCAGGCAGTGCAACTGCCCCAGGGCCCATGAGCTAGAGGAGCCCATAGAATGGGGTGGCAGGGGGGGGGGATTGAACAGTGGGGCTACCAGGGTGTGCAACGGTGGCGAGATGTTAACTACCTCGCCTGGTATACAGGAGGTCGTGGGTTCGATCCCAACCCTAACGCCCGATGTATATTTGGAGTTTGCATTTTCTCCCTGTCGTCGCAGTGGATTTTTCTCCGAGTCCTCCGGTTTCTCCCTTCACATTTAGAAACATGCCTTTAGAGTATTTGGCTGCTATACATTTGCACGTGATAAGCCACTTAGTTAAGCTATCATTTGTGGCCAGGTCGCTTCTGAAAAAAGAGCTATCTAGCTCAGTGAGCCTTACGTGGTAAAATAAAAAGTAGTTCAGTTTTTTTTGTTTTATTCCCTGCACCAGCGCCCATGCCAACCACACTTATGCCACTATGCGATGCCACATTCTAAAGGCCCCAAGATTGTATTGCTCCGTAATTGTGAAGTTAATTGACTACATCGAGGCATGGTGAACAATTAAGAGTCGATCTCCGATCCGGTTTTACCGCATGCGGTTCGGCGTGGTGTCCGACGGTCCGCTACAATAAAAAAATATTTATATTTTACCAGGTCAGGCCAACTGAGCGATACAGCTCTTTTTCAGAAGCAACCCGTCCACAAATGATAGCTCAACTGCAAATTTATATCAGCCAAATACTCTAAACGCATGTTTATAAATGTGGAGGGAAAAGCCAGAGGGCTCGGAGAAAAGTCCACACGACCACGGGGAGAGAGACGCAAACTCCAAACATGCCACAGGCGTCGGGGTCGGGATTAAACCCACGACCTCCTGTATACCAGGCGAGGCAACTAACTTTCTGGATGCTCATTCAGAAATTAAAATTCCGTTTCGCTCCAAATGCTTTGAACGTCTTCGGGGACCGAAACTCCTGAGCGCATGGAGCGAAACGTCGGACGTCATTCCAGCGCATGGAGCGAAACGTTGGACTTCATTTCCGAACAGATCGCGGTCCAAGCCGACAACACATCGGAGGGGATATCCAGCACAACTGAAAACCTGCACAAAATAACCATTGGCATCGTTGTGAAGACTCTTGAGTTACAAAATATATGAGCAGACAATACACCTCCTTCATATATCATGGACCCCGATGCAGTTGCACCGCCTACACACTCGAACGCTGTGTCACTGGTTGTGTGTAAATTTTTTATATATTTTTTTTCTATGTGCTTATCTATGATGCAAAATTACGCATCAGCATTGAAAAGTCTGATGCACTTCTGTGGCTCTGACTCTTCCCCCCCCCTCCTCTATCCCCCCGCCCCTATACCCCCCCCCCACCACCACCAGCCTTACACCTTCCTCCTATCGTCGGACTACGAGCGAGCCGAGTGGAGGGAGGCCATCCAGGAACAACAGAAGAAATGTAAGTCACAGAGACCACTTGTCGCCCCCTCCCCCCCCTATCCACCTTTTGTGCCTACTCATCGGCGCGCGGTGGTGGTGGCGGCGGCGGCAACGGCTCGCGCTTGTGTAAATCCGGCAAACTGTGGAGGCGCAAGGGTTTGGCGGATCGAACAGATTTGTGCACGCTCCGTAAAACCTGCTTGTCCACGTGCTTGTCCGCTGCAGGTACCGACAGCTTTGCGTTGAGCTCGGTGGAGCTGCAGCTCCTCACCTCATCCTGCATGAAGCTCCAGATGGTTCACAACATCCCGCTCACAAGCAACAAGGACGGTCAGAACTCGCCGGAGCGTAGTTCCTCACTTCGCTGTTTGCCGGGGTCGCTGGCGGACCTGGGGGTTGTGACTGCGCGATGTAATCTTCATTGTAATTATCGGCTAACAAGTCCGTTGCCATTGTACGATTAACCCCGGGGTCTTGGACCTGGTAGATTGGATGAGCCACGTGACTTGTCGCCACAGCAGGAGCGAGTGGTATTTTCCTATCCCAAGTATGAAAATAATAAGCTGTAGCGAAAGCAAAGCAACACTTTGTCAAATCAGTTTTTGAAAGTAGGTTTTAAAACCAAGGATTCTAGTTGTAAATGCATGGATATAAGCTTACAAGCAAAGGCAGAATCACTCGGTTGCAAAAGAAATTAGGGGGTACAAATATTGCGAAGGGGAATGAATAATATTCCTGAACATTGGTTGAGCCTGGATGATGAGAGGGTTGTGCTTGCTAGACTACTGCAGGAGTCGGCTAAATTTTTTATAACGTTTTTTACATGTCATAGGACTTTGAACATCTCATTTCCGGATGTCTGAGTTTTTTCTTTTTTAAAGATCTGAAATACGAATTACATTGTTCACTGAATGATGGAATCGCATAATAACAAATTCCCTCGGAGTAACGTTCGACCAAATCTCACACTGTCCCCGAATGGCTTGTCCACCACCGAGCGATAGCGCGCCACGTATTTCCCAGCGTTCCCATTAAAAACGACTTGCATCTCTTGAAACTCCGCGCATCTGTTTTGGGAGGTTAAACGTTGCAGCGCAACATCGGTGTGACGTGTGGCAGGGGTCCGTAAAGCCCGCAGAGAGACCCCACCACCTCTATCAATCCAGCACACTAAACATGGAATGAATTATAAAATGGCCGGGGGTGAATTTAAAAATAACGTGCGTGTAATTTTGTTTCTGCTTTGCTTGTAAAATGCTAAAACGATCTTGCATACGGCCGCAGTGCGTTTGAGATATCTGGGCAACGTGAGCGACTTGAACTTCTGCTTCTTCTGCTTACGAAGCCAGAAGTCCCATTGAGTGCATGGGGGTTGGAAGCCCACGTTGTCTTTCTCCACAACACTTGTGTTTTGCGTATCTTCCGTAGGCGTATGTACAGACCCATAGACTCCCACTTACAGGATCCCATAGGCTTGAATTCAGATGCATAGACTCGCATACACTTACATGATCGGGCTTATATTTTTTTTTTACGCAATCGCTGAGCACAGAGCCCAAAGACCCAAAATGTCAGATGGGCAGCAACAACCAGCACGATAAAAGTTGTGAAAGATAAGAATTGATACGTTTCTTGAAATGGGCAAGATTATTATTACTTTCCGAAGAGCTTGGGAAAAGAAAAGAGAAAGAAAGTAAAAAGGAGGTGTGTGTGTGTGTGGGGAGCGGTAACACAGCGCACTAGTCGACTCGAGTTCGGTTCCCGCTCACAGCCAACACTGGTGACGATTATCTGAACCGGTCATGGGCCTCCCCCAGGTCGATTCAGCCTCAAATGAGTACCTGGTGTGGCGTGTAAACATCGCCACTGGGGGGACAAAGGCGGCCGGGCATGGCGCTAACCACCCACCCCCTCATAGGTCCTCGCTAACAGCACTTGCCCCAACAGTCTGTTAAGGTTATATGGGGGATCTTTGTCTTTGTTTGACTGCGACGTGATGCCGTCTCCTTTCCCCTCCCCACAGACGACGAGTCTTCGGGCCTCTACGGCTTCCTCCATGTCATCGTCCACTCCGCCTCGGGATTCTCCGAGGCCGCGAGTACGTGGCTCACTCGCGTCGGCCGCCTGCTACCGCTACGACAGCGATGGCAGTGGCGGCGGTGGACGTGCACACGTTGTACACGCACCCGCGCGATCACTCGCTCGATCGCTCGCTTGATCACCCGATCACTCACGCCATCACTTGCTCACTCACACGATCACTCACTCGCTCGACCACCAGATCACCCGCTCGATCACTCGCGCGATCACCCCCGCAATCACTCGCTCGATCACTCGCTCGGCCACTCCTCGGCCGTTGTTTGAATTCACTTGGGTCACGCTGGGTTGATCACGCTGGGTTGGTGAAGGCGGCGGGGAGCATAGACACGGCTGCATAGAAGTGCGGCCGAGCACAATAGCGGCGTTTTCCTCACCGCCCCGCTGGTCACTGGCCGCTGTGTAGCCCGATGCGTCGAGAGTCAATTAAACAAAGTGTGTGCCTCGTCCTTTCCGTGGCTCTTGAGGATCTGGATTAATCGGTGGTAATTACGTTGCGATGCAAATCTGCACTTCACCAACTTGCCAGTTGTTTTTAATGAGTTGTGATCTTGGTTGAGTCATTGGGTGCAGCGGTGGTGCTGCAGTGGTTAGCGCACCGTCATATGAACCTGGGGACCTGAGTTTCATTCCTGGCCACGGCTAACATCAGCGGCGATTGATATTTAAACCAGTCCCTGACGCCCGCTCACCCCCCACCCTCACGAGTTCACCTTCCCACACTGACCAGTGTGGTGAAGTATGGTTAAATAACGACCATTACTGACATGGCAGTGGATGGACAATGGGCTCTAAGTTATCATTAATTTTTCTTCAAACGCAGTGCTTCATTTTTTTTTACAAACATTTTGTTATTATATTCTTGGTTCTTTCGGTAAAGTCACGTAGAAGGGAAACAATAAAATAATAAAGTCACGTAGAAGGGAACCAATAAAATAATAAAAATATTTTATCGTTTCCCTTCTACGTGACTTTACCGAAAGAACCAAGAATATGAATCCCTGCAGTCACGAAAGCTTTAAATAAAAATTGTATTATTATTTTCTTGTTTAGGAGAACGTCGTTGATTCAAAGACTCTTTTGATTATTAGGGTCCTGCCTTGGGCCGTCCTCGCGAATGTTCGTAGAACGCAGTAAAGTAAACACACCGCGATAAGAAAAATATTGACGCAATCTATTGTCACGCCAGTGGTCTTGTGGGACTGCGAGTACGCACAAAATCTAATTAGGTAATAACGGCAGCCGTGATGCCATTTAGGGAGCTGAATAAGCCTCGCATGATTGCATTTGCAAACGTTCTGTGTGCTGGTGCAGTAAACTGCTTTAGCGTGTTTTGTGATTGCAATGTTCCACATTTTGCCCGAGCCCCTTGATGCAATAACAAACAAACAAAAGAAACCTGCAGTATAATTACGAACCTGCGCCGATTCGACGGCGTGCCCCGCCGCCTCGCGCGTGCCGACATTCGGCGATCGTGGCGCTCCCAGAAGAACCGTCTTAACGTTTTGTTAAACGCAGCTTGATTTGTTGCAAAAGTTTTTCCCTTCTCCGACGAGCATCGAGGAGGTGCTCATCTCCTTCTTCACAGCCACTGAAGCCAGGAGTGGAAATTCCACATTGCTGCATGGCGGCAGGGTGGGGGGGACAAGTCTATTCACTGGAAAAGCCACTGTTGACTTTCCCACAAAGTGGTAGCCGTTTTACCGACCCCCCCGGGGGGGGGGGGGGGATGTACGTCGAGTCAAACCCCCCAAAAGCAGGATTTGAACTCGCAAACCCTCTGGAGGCTGCGAGCCGCTCTCTCTGCCACTGGGCCGCCCGGCCTGCTGTTACTACAAATACATGCAAACACTTGTGGATTGCATTGTTTTGGTAAGTTGAACGTTTGCAATCACGTTCCCTCCACCACAGATCTCTACTGCTCACTGGAACTGGACTCCTACGGCTATTTCGTGAACAAAGCTCGAACCCGAGCTTCCAGGGACACCACCGAGCCCGAATGGAATGAGGTAATGACGGCAAAGGCTCGCAGCCCTGCAATTTCTCATGGGCCTTGATTGCCCGTCGGCCTTGATGCAATTGCGACGATCGATTTAACGCGTAGGCTTTCGCGACCAATATTTTTCATGGCAAGGTGTTTCTTTGGTTGGGTCAGATCGCGTAAATGCTAAATGGCTCTTGTTTTTTTTGTTTACGTCTAAGCATAAACAGGGTTATGTAATACGGCAAGGCCACTTGACCGATATCAACACTCGACTGAGCGTGAGGAACAGTGAGGGGGAGGGGGGCGGCCGTTGGGCATTCCGGACATTCGATGCTCCGGCCGTGTGACCGATTTCAGGAACATCCTTCCTTTTGCGTCGTTCCCGAACGGCAACAAAAAAAAAAAAACCTGTTGCACTTAAAAATCCTGTGATTTATTCTTGCAGTTAATTTGCAGGCTTTGACCATGAACAACAATATTTCAATGTATGTTATTGAGTCGAATTTAAGGTCTGTAAAGGTGCAGCCCCTGCAATTGCTTGCTCATGGCACTACTGACCGAAGGGCCTCCACTCGAGGGAGTTGTATTGTGCCCCCTCTAAGAGTCAGCATTTGGTCTATTCTTCCACGCTGACCAAATACTTGGTAAGGGGTGGGAGTACCCCCACACTTTACCACTCCACATGCGACTTGCCGATTGACTGTGTTGCACCTACATATATTTGCGAATGGGCGGGAACTTAAGTACGCACCCATAGACTTACATATACTAGGCCGGTAAGGGAGTGAGATTAGATGGGATAGGATGGGGGGGAATCTTGAGCCAATGACGCTTGCCTTTTTGGTCGAAAGCGTGGGCGCTTGCTTTTGAAACAAAAACTTAAGCAAAAAACTATATTTAAACTATTTATATTTTGCCAGGTTAAGGTCCACTGAGCTACGTAGCTCCGTTTCAGATGGGACCTGACCACAAATGATAGCTCAACGAGGTGGCTTATCGCGCGTACATTTCTGGCAGCGAAACACTCGAAACGCGTGACGTTGATTCTAAATGTGGACGGAAGAACCCGGAGGACCCGGAGAGAGACACACGCAGACACCAAATATACAGCAGCAGGCGTCAGGGTCGGGATCAAACCCATGACTTCCTGCACACCAGGCGAGGTAGTTAACATCTTCTAGCCACCGTGATGTTGAGAGAGATACACGCAGACTCCAAATACACAGCAGCAGGCGTCAGGGTCGGGATGGAACCCGTGCTCTCCCACCACACCAGGCAAAGCAGCTGACATCTCCCCACCGTGGCGCCCGCAAAAAAAATTAACACAACTCGGAAATTGACGGGCAGTAATGTCCGCGCGTGTGTTGCCCACCCCCCGCCCCCCCGTCAGGAGTTTGAGATCGAGCTGGAGGGTTCCCAGAGCCTGCGCATCCTGTGCTACGAGAAGCGCCACGAGAAGGGCAAGCTGAGCAAGGGCGACGCCCAGACCAGCGACCTCATCCTGGGCAAAGGACAGGTGCAGGTGAGGGAGCAGGCGCCGGCCTTGCGTGACCCCCCCCCCACCCCCCACAGCTACTAAACTGGCTCACTACTTGAGGCCGACTGAGCCACGTAGATATTTTTTTCCGAAGCGACCTGGCTATTCTGAAATGATAGCTCAACGAAGTGGCTTGCCGCGTGGAAATGTATAGCGGTAGCCAAATGCTCTTCAACGAGTGTTTCTAAATGTGGAGGGAAAAACCGGAGGACCCCGAGAAAAATCCACGTGACTACGGGGAGAACACGCAAATTCCAAATACACAGGCGACAGGGTACGGGATCGAACCTACGACCTCTTGTATACCTGGCGAGGTAGTTAACATCTCGATACAGAAGTGCCCTGCCATTGTGTCGGTGGTTCAGAGATGAGGATGACGATTCCCACGCGCGGTGTGCTCGCTTCAATGGCTCGACCACTCAACAAAGCACCTTGCATCACATCTCATCTCAACCGTCATTACATTGCTCTGCTGCAGTGTAGCCCAGGGGACCCCTGGTGGCAGCTGTCCCTTTATTGTGCAAGGTAGTCGCAGCACAAGCCTACGATGGACATTTGTCTACGGGTAGGCAGAGATGTTGCTTTGTAGTTTTACCCAATTAAGTAATTTGAGAGTAATTGACCCATTTAAGTGAATTTGTATCATGACTCTGGCGTGCATGGGCCTACTCTTTTTTTTATATATATAACGTCACGGGAAGCTATTTAACGTCCAGCTGAAGCAGGTGGGGTGCGCATTCATGGTTAATGCACCCGCAGTTTGATCCCGAATTGTCACAATTCATGCCTTCGTGATACTGCTTTCAGCCGCGGTGCTGTTATGCAAAGACATCGGAAAATACGAGCCATCGTGTTGAGGGCTGCGTTTATCATCATATTAGTACAGTATAGACCTTTATCCAGGAACGTCTCTCTGGGTCTCAAGGACTCTTTTTCAGAAGGCTCATGTTACATTGGGATGTTTTGGCCAGTTCTATTAATGAACATTCAAGCTTCATATGGGAGGAAACTGGAGTAGAGTACTTGGAAAAAAAACATTTACCACATGTAAAAGGGGGTTACCATTCAAAGCTCCACACAGATGGATTCAACATTTCGTTGTTGTAGTGACATCTCTTGGGAACCTTGCAGCTTAGGCTCGCTCGGTATCCCCAGACAGCTTCCCATCCGAGGAGTAACCAGGCTCATCTCTGATTATCTTCTTGAAGCTTGGCGAGCTCCAACGCATTGAGGGTGATTTAACCAGAGGCTCGTAGTCAATGTGCTGCTGATGTAAGCATGCCTGAAGTTCTATTTTGTGTTTCAGAATGTATCTTATATATACAAAAATGGGACTCTCATTAGTGGTCTGAAACTTACCTAATCCGTTGGTAAAAAAATCCCTAAGTGAAAATCAAGGTGCCCTAAGTGCATGAGTGGTTTTAATTTCCCGTCTTGGCAGCGTGATTGGGTGTTTGATTTATAATTGCCGTATCCTTGCCGTCGTCAAAATAGCATCTTCTGGCATGTGTGCGTGCGCGGCGTTAAAAATATCCAGATATGGCCATCCGCTTTCCTCTGACTCGAATAGTAGCCCTTCATTGAGCACTAAAAATAGAATACCGACTCAGGCTCTGATTCACAGTCTTTTCAGCAGCGCGAGAGTCAAGAATTTGTCTCTGGGGAATGATTTTGCACGATATGATTTCCAGCCGCTTAAACGTTGCCGATGTGCCTCATTCGAAGCAACACATGGTAATAAACATCTGAATATTTCTATATTTCAGCCGGTGAACACCCACTGTATGAGATTATCATTACTATATTATGCCGGGGCGGAGAAATGGCCAGGCGTGTTTGCCGCGTGTTGCGGATGTTTTTGGTTCGAGCCCCACGGACGCCCTGGTTGATACCAGAAAAAAAAGTTGAATGAGCAATTGAAGGTTTAACACGTAGGCTTTCACGACAAGTACAGTAAAACCTTGGATTGCGAGCATAATTCGTTCCGTAAACGTGCTCGTAATCCAAAGCACTCGTATATCAAAGCGAATTTCCCCATAAGAAATAATGGCAACTCAGATGATTCGTTCCACAACCCAAAAATATTAATATAAAAATGATTAATACAAAATACTGTACCTTTTTATTTAAATTTAATATAAAGTAATCAAATGTATTCATTACATTTAATCGTGGCTGGTGTGAGGGAGACGAGAGAGAGGAGAGGAGGAGGAGGGTTACTATGTAGGACGACTTTCACTGTCACTAACGGAATCACTGCTATCTATTGGCTCACTGGAATATTTTTCTTTTTGTGTGACTTTAACAAGGAATCTATCCAATGACACTTGCTTTTGCCTCCTTTTGAGGATTTCGTGGACATGTGACAATGCATTGTTGGGCCATTGTTGCAGTACAGTTACTAAAGAACAGTCACTACACTTGGACACAAAATAAAAAAATGCTTTACGCACACGCACGTGGTCACAACACTATAGTACTGTAGTAAACAGTATACACGTGGTCACAACACTATAGTACTGTAGTAAACAGTATACGCTCGCACGGATGTTGACTATACGAGTGAGGCACGCCGACTGAGACCGAGCATGGGAGATGATTACCCACAATCCCGCAGCGAGAGAGAGAGAAGAACCATTGACTCAGTTGTGATCACGTGACGCTCGGCAGACAAAGCGTATACTGTACGTACTGCTCGTTTTGCAAGACATCGCTCGTTTATCAAATTATTATTTAGTTAAAAATATTGCTCGTCTTGCAAAACACTCGCAGACCAAGTTACTCGCAATCCAAGGTTTCACTGTATCATAAATTTACGCGATCTAACCCAAAAAAACCTCTCATGGATGAGCAATTGAAGTTTGTGCTCATCTTCTGTTTACACAAGCTGAGCCATCGGTGGAAATTCTGAATTTTTTTACGGTTGAGCTGAGTCCGTTCATTCATAGCACAACTACTGTTGAATTTCCCACAAAAGTAGTGAACATATTATCCAGCCAAGGTTTGAATTTCGCAACCTTTTCAATTTGTGAGTCGCTCGCGCTGCAGCTGAGCCACCTGGCTGGTTCTGGTTAATGCCGCAGGTGTGTTCACCGTGACAATACGTGCCGCCTGTTTCACATTAGACCAGGGGTCGGGAACCTATGGCTCGCGAGCCAGATGTGGCTCTTTTGATGATTGCATATGGCTCGCAGATAAAACAAAATATTCTCACTTGTTTTAATCCATCCATCGATTTTTCACTGCGCATGTCCTGTTCAGGGCTGCAGGAGCAATTGTCCATTATTTTAATTGGATGATACTGGCCTACGTTTGCCGTTGCTGGGTAAAACAGGTAAACGCCCCCTTTTGAATCAGTCTGAGACTGCGTCTGCTCGGTCATTAGCTCAAAGCTAACCCTTCGACGAAGAAGATGGCGAAAAGAAAAAAAGACGACGAGTATCGTACATTTCAGGACGAATGGACCGAAGAATTCGCCTTTGTGGAGAGAGCGGGTTCTGCGGTGTGTCTAATTTGCAATGACAAAATTACATCGTTGAAACGGTCGAATGTAAAGCGGCACTTCGACACGCGCCACGCTACCTTTGCATCAAAATACCCTGCGGGAGACAGCAGAAAGAAAGCGTGCCAAGAGCTTCTGAGCAGGGTGCAAGCTAGCCAGCAGCAACTCCGCGTATGGACCCGGCAAGGTGACTATAATTCGGCTAGCTTTGCTGGTTCTTTAGCAATAGTGAGGAACGGAAAACCATTCACAGATGGCGAGTATGCTAAAACGTTCATGCTGGATGTAGCCAATGAACTTTTTGATGATCTTCCGAACAAAGACAAGATAATCAAACGGATACAAGACATGCCTCTGTCGGCAAGAACTGTTCATGATCGTACCATCGTGATGGCAAACAAAGTGGAGGAAACGCAAGTGAAGGACATAAATGCAGCGCCGTTCTTTTCTCTGGCTTTGGATGAGTCAACAGACGTGAGCCATTTGTCGCAGTTCAGCGTGATTGCAAGATATGCTGTTGGTGACACACTGCGCGAAGAAAGTCTTGCTGTTCTGCCATTAAAAGGGTCCACAAGAGGTGAGGATTTATTCAAGTCTTTCATGGAGTTTGCTCAAGAAAAAAGTCTACCTATGGATAAACTTCTCTCAGTGTGTACTGATGGTGCTCCGTGTATGGTGGGGAAAAACAAAGGATTTGTGGCGCTTCTCCGTGAACATGAAAATAGACCCATCCTAAGTTTCCATTGCATTATACACCAGGAGGCACTTTGTGCTCAGATGTGTGACAGGCAGTTTGGCGAAGTGATGTCGCTGGTCATTCGTGTGATCAACTTTATTGTTGCCCGAGCCTTAAATGATCGCCAGTTTAAAACACTGCTGGATGAAGTTGTAAATAACTATCCTGGTCTGCTTTTGCACAGCAATGTGCGTTGGTTGTCAAGAGGGAAGGTGCTTAGCCGTTTTGCGGCTTGCCTGAACGAAATCCGGACTTTCCTTGAAATGAAAGGCGTCGGGCATCCTGAGCTAGCCGACACCGAGTGGCTCCTCAAGTTTTACTATCTCGTAGATCTGACTGAACATCTGAACCAGCTCAACGTGAAAATGCAAGGCATTGGAAATACAGTGTTATCCCTTCAACAAGCTGTATTTGCTTTTGAAAACAAGCTGGAGCTTTTCATCACGGATCTTGAAACAGGTCGTTTACTACATTTTGAAAAACTGAGCCAATTTAAAGATGCATGCACAGCAAGTGAGCCCATTCAAAACCTTGATCTCCACCAGCTAGCTGGCTGCACATCCAGTCTCCTACAGTCCTTCAAAGCACGCTTTGGAGAATTTCGTGAGCACACTCGTCTTTTTAAGTTCATCACCCATCCAAACGAGTGTTCACTGAACACAGCCGACCTGAATTACATCCCTGGTGTCTCCGTCAGAGATTTTGAAGCAGAAGTGGCTGACCTGAAGGCCTCAGACATGTGGGTGA